GGTAGCTCAGCTGAATAAAGTGGATATTTTACAAGGGGTGTTCTGTTAAGAAGAGAGCGGCTTTGGTGGGCAACTCTACCAGTCGGGAAGCTGCATTTACATCAGGGCCTTGGTAGCCATAACCTGTCTCTGTTCCAAGCTTGAAAGAACGAGCTAGAGAGTGAACCTTGGGGCAGACAGAGGGAGATGCCCGCCCAGCAGCAACAAGTGACATTCAGTTCTGGTTCCCTTTTATTGCTATGTTTTCTTGTGCATTTTTGGGTTGTGGCTTTCTGTGCGGTTTTAACTGTCACTATATATATCACAGGGTCTCACTATGTAGCCCAGGCTGGCCTCAAACTCACAGCAATCCTTCTGCCTCAGCGTCTTGAGTAGTGGGATTATAGGCATGTGTCAACATGCCCATCTATCACTACTGATAAGTTTCTTTTTTGTCTTCTAAAACTTCTCTTATTTACTGAGCTCATTCTTTTCCATTTATACATCAGTGCTATTGTGGATTTATTGCGTAGGTACCTTTAAACTATCATTTCAGTTGGATGGAGAGATGGATACAAATAGATACACTGGCATTTTGAGCTAGAAGCTTTCATCTTTTTCTTTGCATATTTAAAAAAAGGAATTTAGCTCATTGTCTGTGCAATCATATGGTCTGCTTTTTATTTAAGATGATATGAAACTCCTCAGTGATATTAACATGACTCTAAAGCATAATTACCTAAGGGTTCATCACATGAGTACGGCACGCCATAATTCATTCTAACAACTCTGCAACATTAACTCCTTCGGACAAATCCTTCCAACGTCACTGTTTTGGGTTATTCAGGCTTTACAAGTTCTTCACAGTTAAAAATGAGATTCCAGTGAACATTCTGGTGTATAAACATTTGCCTGCAATTCATATTCTCCCAGAATAGATGCTTAGAAGTAAAATTACTATAATAAAGTATATGAGCATTTAAGGCTTTAGGACATAATGGGAAATTTTTATAATCTAATAAGGTTTTTGCCAACTTAGAGTCTCATAAAGATTGTGTTAAAGTTCATGTCTCTGTACCCTTGTTAGCATTATGGATCATACCTCCAGCTTTGTTAATTTTATTTGCAAAACTGGCATTTCAGTGTTTTGCTTTGCATTTGTATGAATACCCATGAAATTGATTGTTTAAATTTATTAAATGTTTCATCAGTTGTGAATTGTCTGTTCATATTACTTGCTCATTTCTTAAAACAAGGGTGTTCACGTATTTAACCTTTGACATTTTGGATAGGTGATTCTCAGAGGATTATAAGATTTGGAAGGTACATAAGGGTACACAATAGTTACTCATTCTGGTCTTATTTGGTGTCCACTCATAACAGTTCCTTGTTCTTTTAGTGATAACCCACAGTTTTACAATCATAAGAGCCCCATAGATGCTCTTCTGTGTCTTGAAGATCCTTGTATTTTAGCACATAAATTTCTGTTTCTTTTTAATGGCTACTTAAGATGCTACTATTCAGAGGTACCATAATTTATGTACCAAACATGATAGGAACTTGGATATTTTCTACATGTCTGCTATCATAAGCATGTAGCATAAGCAATGCCTTGGACTTAGAGTGTGGGTCTGTAGGGTAAATTCCTAAATGAAATTACTGAGTAAAGTATGTGTGTAGTACTAGAGATTGAAGCCAGGATCTCAAGCAAGCTAAGCATCACGCTCTATGATTAAACTGTATCCCCGTCCTATTATTCAATTTTGATGTTTGTTAATTTGGTTAGGTAAAAATGGTATATCATTATAATTTCAAGTTGTACTCTCATTATCAGTGAGATTAAGCCTATTTTCTTATATTTAAAAGTCATTTGTGTTTTTTCTTTAATTTATCCACCCATATTTCATGCCTATATTTTGCATTGAGCTGTTAGGGTATAGTTTGTTGTTGTTGCTTTGAAGTTCTTTAAAAAGTAAAGTGGACCTTTTAGATATGAATTTTCCAGTTTATTTCTAATCAGTTCCCTCAGCTTAATACATGTGAGCCTGTGGCAAGGCCATCTTCTTTCCCTTGGCTTGGATAGCGGCCTGCTGGTTACTGTTCTACTTACTGGTCCTCAAGGGCAGGTATGTTAGCTTGGGGTTGCTCAATTTTACCTCTTAATTTACCTAAAAGCCAACATAATTTCTACTTGTAAGCTTATTTTTTCTCCAAACCTCATAGTTTCTTATGAAGAGAGAAGCAGGTAGTCCTGTTATTAATGCATCTTTGACCCCACCTCTTAGTAAATAATAGCACTGGTCCTATTTGTGAAAGTGTGTTCATTTCCTTTTTTGGCTGTTTTTCATTATGAAGGGCCCAATATCTCCGCTCAAACCATTCTGGATGATTGAGATTTACAAGCTATGATTGAAAAAATATGATGAGCATTTAAATTTTTAAAAGTTTTATTACAAATTGGGCATAGTGGCGCATGCCTATAATCCCAGCACTCGGGAAGCTGAGGCAGGAGAATCACTGTGAATCTGAGGCCACCCTGGGCTACAAAGTGAGTTCTAGGCCAGCCTCAACTACATAGTGAAACTGTCTCAAAAAGACAAAATAAATTAATAAAAAGTTTATTACAAATGAAAGACATACTGCCATTAATTCCCCCTCAAAGCTCTTCCCCTTGCTTTGACATACTTACCACATCATTCTTGCCACTTTGTGAAGCCGTTCTGGAAGTCTTTTTCTAAAATGTCTCTAGTTGTGCTGTTTCCGCTGCCTTGATGTCTTGAATCAATTTAAATTATTTATCTTTCATCTTCATTTTGACTTTGGGGCAGAGCCAGTAATCCCACAGTTCCAAATGCAGTGAGTAAGGTAAAGAACGACTCACCATAATGTCTTTATGAGCCTGCCTCTGCTGTGGATGGCACTCAGCAGAATATTCGCTGACTTTTTTTTATAACACACCTCATCAAGACTGAGGAAAGAGGACTTCCAGAATTGCTTCAGAAAGTAGCAACTATGAGGGAATATTTTGAGGGGGGTTAATGATGATTTGTGTCTTTATACTGTAATAATTTTTATTTAAACATTCATCCTATATATTTTGATTACCCCTTGTTTAAGAACGAGTGCAGAAGCTGGTCATGGTGGTGCATGCCTGTAACGCCAGCACTCTGGAGGTGAGGCAGGGGATTTTTGTGAGTTCAAGGCCAATCTGAACTGCATAATGAGACCTTGTCTAAAACTACTCCACTCCCGCAAAAAAAGAACAAGTGGAGATAGATGGGTGGAAAGAGAAAGGTCTGAAGGAAAGAGAGGTGGTAGTAGCTATAGAACTTCACCTGAGGGCTAAAATACTTGTGTTCCTCCTCACTGGAAGAAGTACTTTTCTCTCCTGCTGGGTGGTGGGGTGGGTGTCTTTAGCACAATGGAATGTGTATCATGTTTAATGAACTAATAGGACAAATTTTTTTTTTTTTTTTTTTTTTGCTTGAGGACATTCTGAGATGAAATAGTCACAACTGTTTGCAATGTTACTTCAAAGGTTATGTGGAGTCAAGCCTGGAACCAATAACCAAACAAAGGAGAGTGCCACCCTACTTGGAATAGAAGATTCTCCTTTTAAACAGGATATTAATGTTCTTGCTTTCCTTTTAGTTTGTTTTTTCTTCTTTTTTTGTGTGTGTTTGTTTGGGTGTTTTTGAGACAGGTTCTCACTATGTAGTTCAAGCTAACCTTGAACTCACAATGTAGCCCAGGCTGGGCTCAAATTTGCAGTGATCCTCCTGCTTCAAGCTCCCAAGTGCTGGGATTACAAGGGTGTGCCACCACACCAGACTCTGAGTATATTAACTTTCAATTGCTGAGTAACAATAAAACTATTTGCCTAGTTGCCCTAAAATTTAGCAGCATTAATAAACATTTTAATTGGGTGACGCACCCCTGTAATCCTAGCAGTCTAGGAGGCTGCAGCAGGAGTGAGCCCAGCCTAGGTAATTTATCAATTTAGTGTACCCCTGTCTCAAAAGAAAAAACATAAAAACTGCAGAGGCTCTGGGTTCAATCCCCATTACAGTAAAAAAAAAAAAAAATGTTTTATAGTTTGTGCAGATCAGAAATTTGGGGACTACTTATCTGGGTTCTGCTTAAGAGTTTCTCATTAAGATTACTTTAGGGGTACAGTCATGTGAAGGCTTGCCTGAAGTGACAGTATCTGCTTCTAGGATGACTTTTTCATGTGGCTCTTGGTAGGAAGCCTCAGTTTCTCACTGGTTGTTGGCAGAAGGTCTTCCTTCTTTGGCAAGTAGACCTTCTTCTCTGCAACATGAATGTCCTTTTGACAGGGCTGGTCATTTTCCCCAGAATGAATGATGTCAGAGAGAAAAGGAGAAAGAAGCCATGTTGGCTTTTGTGACCTAAATTTGGATGACACGCGGTCATTCTCACCATTTTCTATTCATTAGGATTAAGTCACCAAGTTCAGCCCATACTCAAAGTAAGGGAACTAAGCTCTACATGGTGAAGGGAGAAGCATCAAAAAACTGTGCACATGTTTTAAACCTATCACATCTACATTCCTTAAAAACACTTATCATGGCATACTTTGAACTTTATTCCACACTGTCAACCTCATTCCCTTGAACTACAGTCATATCTTGGTGCTTGACTGCTTTAAAACTCATCAAATATGGGAACTCCAGTCATTTGGACAAGAAAATTTCATCATGATACTTGTCATTTGCTTGGTACTCAATGTAGAAACTAGTACTTGTGTTGGTGTTGATCCCCTTGTGACTTGCTACTCTTCCTGGACAACACAAGGTGGTCTTTGTCATTTCTGGTACTCACTGAGCCTCCTGGAACCGATTAACAAGTACCAAGGTACCATATGTATCCACTCACTTCAAAGACATTTATCAAGTGCATTATCTGAAATTACTATATCCAACCTTTCCAATCCCTTACTGGAAACCATTCTGCTCTAAGAGTCTTACAGAGAGCTAACAGTGCTCTTTTCTCCTCCCCAGGTGCTCGTTGGGTTTCTTCTTATTCTGGCAGTCATAGAGCTGGCCCTTGCACTCACAGAAGACTCTGGACAAGCCACGATTCCTCCCGTGAAATATGTCAACCCGATCCTCTACCTAGTCACATGGGTAAGGCCCATTGCCACTTCTGCCCCATTTATCTTCTCTCTACCTGCAGCTGAAATGTACTTGTGGAGATAAAATTAAGTCCAATTTCATCTAGCTTTGTCAAGGATTTACAGTAATGCAAAACTTGGTTGTAATGGGATGAAGCAGATCTTAGATTTTTACCTCCTCTGATCTTATGCCTTCATATTTTGCCATCTAGGGATCACTGATGGAATCTAAGTGTCTTAGAGTAAACTAATTTTTTTGTTTTAAAGAGAGAAACAGAAACAATAAAAATGATACAGAATTTCAAAATAAGATGATAGGAAATTAACAGTGGTTATTATATTGCATATCATTAGCTTCAAAGTAGTTGCTCAGATTACAAGATATAGGCCTGCAAAATTGATCAAGAAATATAAACAATATAAGCACTAACTGTTCCTTTCAATGAACTAATAGAAATTAATAGTACAATTATCTTAGCTATCGTGTGTGTGTGTGTGTGTGTGTGTGTGTGTGTGTATTTTTCTCTCTTCCTTCTTTTCTCCTTTCCCCCATCCCAGTTCTTTTCTTTTGAGCAGTTTCTTTCCCTTTTGCAATATCTATAATACCTTTTGGATCTTATTTACTCTTTCACTTTCTTAGTAAAATAATTTTAAGTGTTGTAAATATTATTCCAAATCAATTGATGACTAATCAATGGATCGCAGAGTCTAGGGCTATTGTATAGCTTTGGGGGAGGGCTGTGCAGTGTTTTAAAAATGAATTAGTTGCTATCATTTTAAATGCTCAAATGAGAAGGGGAACAATGGAAGGGTGAGGGAGAGAGGAGAGAAGGTACAAGAAAAAAAGAATAGGAAGACAAAATGGAAACAAAGCTTTTGTAAATAAAGGGGCAAAGAGGGGTTGAAGGAAGGGGAGGAGAATGGGGAAAAAAGAAGTAGCAAGATATATTACGTACAGGTACAAATTCTCTATGATGAGTGTTATCATTATGAATATCTAAAATGTACCGATACAATTTTTAAAATGCGAGAAAAAAGATAATGATACATCAGCGTTTTGATTCATAAACTTTCTTTAAAAATCAGAATATCCAACAACCTTGGACTTACATTTCCACAGGGCAGTGGCCAGCTGAGACGGAATAGCTGCTGTCCCCTTTCGACCGTGTGGTTGTGGTTGGCACAGCCCCTCCCTGTGCTCCTTTTGCCCTGCCATCACTAGTAATGTGATCTGCTAGGCCTCTTGAGGCATTTTTATTTGCCACCACTGTAAAGGAACAAGCAAAGAGAGGTCTAGACTGTAGTGTCTCTTAAGCGCACATAGAGACAGCTGTGTATATCTCTTTCCAAACTATATTAAGTGATATCAGATTGGAGCTTGAAATCTACCAAAGTGGGAGTATTTACACCGCGAAATGGGCAAATTCTGCAAACTATAGCTTTTCCCCTCGAGCACTGGCTTACTAGCACAACAGGTCTAGGAAGCTAACACACGTACATGAAGGGAATCGAGGCGAGGCTTTAGGTTTTTAAAATTTTTTAATACAATATTTGCAAAATCAAGATATAGACAACTTATACCTAGTCATTAGAATCTGCCTCCTTGGTTGGGCATGATGGCGCTCACCTGTAATCTCAGCACTTGGGAGGCTGAGAGAGGAGAATCACCAAGAATTTGAGGCCATCCTGTGCTATACAGGGAGTTCAAGACCAGCCTGAACTACACAGAAAGGCTCTGTCTCATAAAAACCAAAACCAACCGACCAAACAAAAATCTGCCTCCTTCACCTGACTACTGCCTGAACTGGATTTACCCAATCTTGCAAAGGTCTTCATAGTGTCCATAGTAACTCCACTGGAAAGCCGCAGCGCCCCGCTGTCTTGGCTAATTCCCACCCGGGTGTGGTAAACAGAGAGGAAGCAGAGCTGGAAGACAGTCAGAGGGTACCAGGGAGCAAAGGGAGAGTTTGGCAGTATGTGCTCGCTGCTTCGCAGATCAGTTTCCACGAGCTCCTCCTCCGGCTTTCCTTTCGCCCTTCCTCCCTGACTTCCTTCTCCCCTCCTCTCCTTGGTTAGTAATGCCACTTTTCAGAACTTCCTGTTAATTTTTCTCTAGCTCCTGGTTTTGCTGATCCAGTACAGCAGGCAATGGTGCATACAGAAAAATTCTTGGTTCCTGACAATATTCTGGATTCTCTCGATCTGCTGTGACACTTTCCAATTTCAGACTCTTGTCCGGGCACTCCTACAGGTAAGGAGAAAGAGGTGTGACGTGAAGAGGTGCTGCTGGGTGATTTCTTCTTCTCTTTCTTGGCTGGGCAACTTATTAACCAGAGTAAATGACATCCAGTCAGTTGAGCTCCAGGATAGAATTATATTGGGAGAATTTGATGATAGGCTTTAGTCATACATATATATAATGTCTATAATTATATTTCATTTGTATTTATCTATAAATATATTTATTAAGTATATATTTATATATAAATGAAATAGCTGACCTGGGCTACAAAATTTAGTTTACATTTAATTTGGGTAAAAGGCTTAATTTCTCTGGGTCTTTTCTCCCCCTAGGACAAAAGTTCCAATCTGGCCTATTCCTGCCTGTTCTTCATCTCTTATGGATTACAGATCCTGATCCTGATCCTTTCAGCATTCTCAGAAAAAAGTGACTTATCAAGTGTAAGATTCTAAATATGCCTATTTCATATGGTACTTAATTAGATGATATTTTAAAAATTAAATTTTGAGATGTCTAGGTTTTATGGCGATCCCATGAACCCAGAATAAATTACAGGCCGAGAATTCCTAATCTGAACATCTGGAATCTGAAATGCTCTGAATCCAAAATTTTCAAAAAGTCTGAGGAGTATTGCAAAAATATGAAACACTTCTGGTCTCGAGTATTTTGGATATGAAATGCTCAACCTGTAATACAGGATATTTTATATTAAAGGGTACAATAGTGAACATCTTGAAATACTGATTTTTATGTTTATTCATCAGTTTTTGGCATAGGCAATTAATTCATATATCTATGCCAGAAAATCTGATTATTCCTCTGTTAGTGACCTTAGAGTGTCCAAAAAATATATGTTGACAAACTGACTTCTGCATCATATCTAGCACACCACCATCTCCAGAAAAATGTTTCTGATTTTAGAGCCCAATAGAGTTTCTCTTTCTAATTTCTTTTTAATTTTTTGTATCTTTCAGAATCCATCATCCACAGCTTCATTTTTGAGTAGAATTACCTTCAATTGGTATAACAGGTAGGAAATGCCTAAAGTATGGGTTTTCCATATTCCTAGTCATATTTTTCTGAAAAAAATGAAAGAAAGCTTAATTTTTAGAAGTGCCTCCTGGGGCCCTCTTTTCTTTTCTAGAGTAAGAGAATGCTACAACTTACGTGTTAGTTTAATTCATCCCCTTCATTGCACAGATTAGTCTAGATGATGAAAGAGACTTGCTCTTCATAGCCTGGGAGTTCCACAGAGGGAAGCATGGAGGCAGTGGGACAGGAAGGGAGCAGCTTGAGCCAGGCAATGCGCACAGACTTGGAGGTGAGGCATGAAACAGCTGCACCGGGGTACAAGAGGGTCCGGAACAGATACCCTTGGCCTTTTGTAGTTCCATGGCTTTTGGGAGCCTGGTGAAGCACGTGAATCCCTTCTTAGGTACCGCTTTAAGAGCATAAAATAAAAGACATGAGATTATAAAGGAAATAAATTATACAGACATTCCTTGTTCAACAACTTACCTTAGTAACGACCGTTCAGACTTATGATCCATCTTTTGTTTCTAAAGTTCTGTACACCTTATTTGATCGAGCCTCAGTGTCTTTTTTTGGCACAGTATCCCTTGTTTGTACAGTACTGTATTTTTTTGCTGATTGTACGGTGCAGTACAGTGCAGTACTATGGTTTTATATTGTCATACATTACAGGACTGCAAGTAAGAGTTATACAAATAAAAGAAAAGTCATTGAGTTGGAATTTCCTTTGACCATTTCTTCTGAATATTGTAATGTACATATTATGTACAATTCCTCATTTTGCAACCAATTCATTGAATGACCTATTCGCCACAGTGGAACTCGGTTGTTAAACAAGGAATGTCTGTATTGAAATGTAGTTATACAAATGTTTAATGCCAGGCATGGTGGTGCATGCCTGTAATCCCAGCACTCAGGAGGCTGAGGCAGGAGGATTGCTGTGAGTTCAAGGCCAGCCTGAACTAATAGCAAGATCCTGTCTCAAAACAACAACAAAAAAATTTAAAAAGCAAATTTGTGATATAGTAATATATACTTTTAAATCACAGCACTAAATAATAAAGTCTAGTGGTGAGTCTAAAAATGACCATAATTTTAAAATAGTGATGGGCATAAATTAGCTGTGAAGACATCCTTGATTTTCCTGGTAACAAAGGCACCATGTTACACTCATGTCAAGAGATAAGGTTAGTTTCCAGTTGGAAGCTGTTACAAGCATTTTCCATTCATTTTCTCAAACCCCAGGCTGGGGAACCCTGATCTAGAGAGATAGTATAAAGGCAGCCATGGGATCTGCTCTGTTTCACCAGGGCATTATGAAGGCCCCTCAAGGCAGAGAGGCTGCCGTGTTTGAAGAGGAAGGAGCCGGAATAGGCAGAGGTGATGTGATTTGGCTCTTAATTCCATAGGGCCATTCTCCTTTTCTTGCTAGCTGTCTTTTAACACACACTTCCTTTTCTGTCTCCCCGCTTCTCTGTCAAGTTCAAAGGGCCAGGGTGTGGTGGTAATGGAGCAATGGAGAACTCCCATATTTCTGTCCCCCACTCCAATCAGGGAGGCAAGTTTTGATAGAGGCAGCAAAGGTCTTCTAATGCAGCCTGTGGTGTTCCAGCCTGTGGTTACTCTTGTTTCAGGGTTGTTCGGAAAGGTTACAAGCACCCTTTGACACTTGAAGATGTCTGGGAACTTGATGAAGAGTTTAAAACCAAACTGGTGGTGAGCAAGTTTAAAGTAGTCATGGAAAAGGAGCTTCAGAAAGCTAAGCGGGCATTCCAGAGACGGCAGCAGAAGTCCCAGCGGAACTCTGGCGCCAAGTCACATGGCTTGGACAAGAACCAGAGCCAAAGCCAAGATGTCCTTGTCCTGGTAAATTTCCCATAAGTGTCTGAGTATGCACTGGGTTTTAGTACAGTGTCTGTGTGTTGTACGTTTCAGGCAAAAAGCAGCATTATGGTGATTTTGTTCTCATAGTACTTCATACTTAGTGTATTTTATATTACTAGTATCATTCACAATACTAGTAATAGCTTAGTGATGGATATGTGGAGGGTATAATGTATTATTTCTCTCCTTTTGGGTATATTTAAAATTTTTCATAATAAAAAATTTAAAATTATAGTTTAGCATTAGTAGAATTTACAGCAAGACCATGTCTCAAAATCAAAATAAATAAATCAATAAAACTTCAAAAAACTGGGGGAGTAGCTTTGTGTGAAGGCTATAGGTTCAACCCCAGTACTGCCAAAAAAAAAAAAAACAGAAGAAGAAGGAAGAGGAGAAGAAGACAAGGAGGCAGAGGAGGTGGAGGGAGTGGGAGGAAAGAAAAAAGTGAAGCTTAGTGGAATATACTTGTAATTGCAGCTACTTAGGAGACCGAGGCAGGAGGATTGCTTTAGGCCCTTGATTTTGAGACCAGCCTGGGAAACCTAACATGACTCCATCTAAAAACAAAGGAAAGAAAAGAAGTGGAAGTGGATTTGAAGTGCCATGCTGCTTTGGACAGTTAATATGGAAGACTGGCAAGAAAGGTGACATTTGAACACAGATCCAAAGGAGAACACCTGAGGGACAATCAGAGGGAAGTCTGTTCCAACCAGAGAGCAGGGCTGTGAGGCGGAGAGAAGGTGTCTGGCCTGTGCAGAGAGCTGGAAGGAGCATTGAGAGGGCCTGAGTGTGGGGTGAGATGAGCTCAGGGAAGTAGATGGGAACTAAACTGCGTGGAGCTTCGTGGGACGCAGCAGGGGTCTAGGTTTTACCTGAAGTCCGATGGAAAGTCAGTGGAAGGTGTGGCACAAAGAAGCAAAGCTGACTCGGGCGGCTGTCTGGAGAGTGAACTGTCATGAGACGCGAGTAGAAGCGGAGAGAGGCTGACAGTTGTCCAGGCTAGACAGACTGATCAGAATAAACCTCGGTGAGAAAAATTATGAGGATGTGAGTGGTAGAAAAACTGAGACACCGAGGCTGAGAAGCTAGAATTTGGGATAGGAGGAGGCCAAAACTTAGGAAAATGGACTGAGGAATGAGTCTGTGTGTCCCACGTGTTAGTGTCCTCGGGCCTGTAACAAAATACAGACGGCCCCTGGGTGCTCGGGGTAACTGGTCCTGGAAGGCATGATGAGTACTAAAACTGACAAGTGCCGAGCGAGCTGTCTTCACTGGACATGGTAGCAAGTCATGGGCCAGGTGACACTGAGGAGTTGTTGCTTGCACGAGAAGTACCAAGCAAATGAGGAACACTGGACTCAATATCTGAATCAGCATGCATCAAGTACCAAATTCAAAGCAGTGGAATACCACGGGATGGCTGTACTACAAACTAGACAAGTTAAAACTACAGAGGCTGGGGCTGTAGCTCAATGGCAAAACATCTGCCCAGAACATGGGAGGCCCTGGCTTTGATCTCCAGTAGCACACGTGCACATGTACCTGTCTGCACGTGCATGCACGTGCGCGCACACACACACACACAATTTACATCTCACAGATCAGGAATCCAGAAGTTTGAAATAAAGCAATCAGCAAGGTCATTCTCCCTTTGAAACATGTAGAGAAAAATCCTTCCCCTATGTGCTAGCTTGGGGCAGAAATCCTGGATATTCCTTCTCTTGTAGATGAATCATTCTAATTTCCACCTCTGTTCTTACATGGGCATCTTCTGTCTGTGTCTGTCTCTTCTTTTCTTTTCTTATAAGGACATCAGTCATACTAGATTATTGCCCACCCTAACGACCTTATCTTGACCCAATTACAGCTGCCAAGACTCTATTTCCAAGCACATCCCACAGTACAAAAGGTTAAGACTATAAATTTTTTGGGAGCGGAGTACAATTCAACCCATATCTTCCAACAACTACAAATAAGAAAAGAACACTCAGTCATCTCCTTCTCCTTCTCCTCTCCCTCACTCTCTCTGTCCCTCTCTCTCTCAGCACTGGAGACAGAACCCAGGACCTTCACACCAAACTACATTCCCAATTTGTTTTTTTTTAAATTTTTTTATTTGTTTTTTATTTTTTTAATTTGTTTTTTATTTTTTAATTTGTTTTTTTTTTGTTTTGTCTTTTTAAGTTTGTTTTGGGGCAGGGTCTCGCTAAGTTGCTAAGTAGCTTGGATTGAGCTGCACTTGTAACCCTCCTATTTCAGTCTCCCAGGGTGCTGGGATTATAGGTGTCAGCCACTGTGCCTGGCTTATTCTGTTCTATGTAGTTTTCTTGTCAGTTTAGATTTCTACTCAAAACTAGACTTCAATATCAGTGAGAAGGGAGAGAGAGGATGATAGCACTAAGGAGATGACGAGAAGAATAAAGACAAAAAGAAGACAACAAGCCTCACAGACTCTGCAAGAATATTGGAGTGGTTCAGGGCAGGAACAAAGTCCTATTCTGTTCAACTTTGTTTACACTGTTGTTTTTCTTTGGTGCCCAGGAAGAAGCTAAGAAGAAAAAGAAGTCTAAGGCTACAAAAGACTTTCCCAAATCCTGGCTGACCAAGACCCTCTTCAAAACTTTCTCCATGGTGCTTCTGAAGTCATTCATACTGAAACTAGTGTATGACGTCTCTATGTTTCTGAATCCTCAGCTGCTGAAGTGAGTACCCAAGGCTTAGGTTGTCCCTTCAGGGCCTACTCTGCCACCTTCCTTTTTGCCCCTGGTATACGCAGCCACGAGTTTTTATAGATTCCCCTTTAAAACAATGTTTATAATTTTCTTCTGCTTCACAGCTTTGTGTTTAGGAAGAGCGCAGGGCATTTTTCAAAATCTAATTCCTCTTTTTCAGGCTCCCTTTCCTCTCCCCCATAGAGGCCACATATTTCCATACTTGTTAGGCCTTTTACTTGTTAAAAAGAGCTGCTGTAGTCTGAGCCACAACCAAGCAGCACGCCCTGAAAGAGTGACTTCTCTCCACAGCCAGAGCCTTCCCTAAGAGGTGCAGGCTAATCATAACGCAACTCTGCAATGTACCATGATCAGGAATGAACCACCAGCAAAGAAACCATTTTAACTCCTCCTGGGTGCACATCCTAATTTTCAGGCTTTCGTTGCCTAGAAATAATCAACTTCTTTTACCAAGAGGTGGAACACAAGGCCAAAGCACTGCAGTACTACTCCACGCAGAATTTCTTCCATTATCCATTCTCACAACTGTGAATTATTTATCCTAAGCCCTTGCTGCCCATCTCCACATGAAAGAAAGAACATCGTCAAGATTACGGAACTTAGGTCTTCCAAATGCACTGGATGATTCTAGTCATTTTAGCTATGCGTATGGAGGGTGAGGAGCCTTGGAAGCCCTGTGAGCATCACTTACTCCGTTTTATTTTGGCAGATGGCTGATTGCCTTTGTGAGTGACTATGACTCATATGTGTGGCATGGATATGTCTACGCCATCCTCTTATTAGTTATTAGTCTCCTCCAATCTCTCTGCCTTCAGGCTTATTTTCAAATGTGTTTCATTCTGGGAATGAGTGTACGGACAACCGTCATGGCTTCTGTATATAAGAAGGTAAGCGGAATATGTCAGGTACAGTATCACCAAAGAAAATCCTCTTAGTAAATCTGTGCCTTTGTTCCAAGATAGAGGAAAAATTATGGAAATCATAACTGATCCCAGTATTCAATTTTTTTTTTTTTTTTTTTTTTTGGCTTTTCTCTGGTACCGGGAACTGAACTCACGACCTTGCGCTTGCCAGGCAGGCGCTTTGCCGCTGAGCTAAATCCCCAGCCCCCCCAGTATTTAATTTTGATTAGCCACACAGGCTCCTTTAGATGTTTCTCTGGAAATCCAAATATGAAAAGAGGGTTCACAGACGTGAGCTGCGTCATGTCTACAAGGTGGGGAAAGATGCATCCTAGGAAGAAGCTGGCAAGCTGCTCAGGATCTGCCTTTCCGCCTTGAAGGGTTAAATACCTGCCCCTCTCTTCCAATTTCTTTCTCTTTTTTCGAAGGGTATTTTTGCTTTTTAATTTATTGGTAAAATTTAGGTATACATAATGATCACATTCATTATAGGGAAATTGGACTTGTACATGATACATCGTGATTCTCCTTCCCCCCCCACCCCATTCCAGTTCCCTCCTTTCAAGCCCCCTGTCTCTCAAGATGAAAATGTGGTGGAACAGAATGTAAAGTCATAAAAGAAGGTGGCCAAGGACGAAATCCTGAAAGCATCGACATTTAATACAAGTACTTCATGAAATCTTGTTCAGAGATTTTGTGTCTCCATTTCAAATTACAGTTTTGCCATAAGACCAGAATGCTCTGTGGACCAGGGATTCATCTCCCTAGGGCAAATTTTGCCTAGCAACTTCTTTTTCTAATCTTTAGTAGCTATCAAATCCTCTGCCACTTTTTTAAAAAATATATTTTCTGATTACTGAGTTGTACAGAACTGGAAGGTTTTCCATTTCCTTACTATGATTTTACTTATCTTCTCTCTGATTTTATTCACCTATTGTGTATGTGTGTGGTGCTGAGGATTGAACCTAGGGTTGCCCTCCCACTGAGCTATATCCCAAGCCTCTTTTAGTTTTATTTAGAGACAAGACCTCACTAAGTTACCCCAGTTGACCATGAACTTGTGACTCTCCTGCCTCAGCCCTCTTGAGTGGCTGGGAATACTGGAATGTGCCACTGCACCTGGATAATATGTTGTTCTTAAGGTTTAACTTCTTCAGGGCAGGTGTATTTTCCTTGAGTCCTGTATATCAGGGTGAAATCTAATTTACCCTCTTAATAAGTAAATGAAAATACAGGAGTTATGATCAGGGACTCCAAGCTCAAGGGAGCAAGTCATACCTGAGAAGCTGTAAGAACACCTGTTGCCTTCTCTGACTATTCCCCTCACGAGAAATTTCCATGGTAGTAACATCTCCTTTATGTTCTACTTTTCTTCTTTGTTTTCCTCTTTCAAAACACAAGGTATCTTTTTCTTCCCCAAGTAAATATTGAGGCATTGAAAGATGCAGACAGGTATGCAAGTGCCTTTTGGGGGCAGGGTACCAGGAATCAAACTCAGGACCTTGCACTTGCCAGGCAGGCACTGCAAGTGTCTTTAGGTCAGAAGTCTTTGAACTCTCAGTTACCCTCACACTGGAATTTGTCTTCCCTAAAATTGGGTTTTTAATCTATTCTTTTAAGATGTATAAAATTCCTTCTGGTTTCAATTTATATAGTCGCTAACCAGACTGTTTCAAGGCTACTAATGTTCACTTTAAAAACTGTGGTCATTCAATCCCACTATTATAATTCTTGATATATTTTAGATTTAGCAGTTGTTATAATCAATAAAGAGATTTGTAAAATATGGCCCATGCCACCCTCATTTAAATAAATATTGCTGTTAAAAAGATTACTCGTTTAATATACTTAGCAATGCTGCTTTGTTTATTAAATACTTTTCATAGCCATTACCACCTCATATCACTATGAAATAGTTTCTTATTTTATACAGAAAAGTGAAACATAATTTCAAGGCTTTTAATCATACAGCCAGGTCTTGCCCTTGGCAAAGACTGTTGGAACTAAATCAGTGACTTTTCTACATTATTAAATTTCATTGAGAAAAGGATGTATAATGATTACCTTGAAGAAATACATCCCTTGAAGGAATGTATAATGATTATCTTATTTTTGTTCTCTCTTTCACACAAAAGAGGAGGCACAGCATTGGGCTGATTCTTTTAGAACTTTGGTAGCTTAACATTTGAAGATATTTTTCTCTTACTGTACTGTGAAGAATCCTAGTATGTTCTTAAGAATGTACTGGTGGATAAAGATGATAGCAGAGCTTTTAAGGGGAAAATGGAGATGGGTATCTAGGCCCATTCAGCCCATATACTGCCTTTGTGGGAATCAGAAGCCTTTCTATCTTCTTCGAAGATGCAAGCCACACCAGATGGTGTCCTTGGTGAGCATAGTGTAAGCTAGATTTAGTGTTCTGGTGCATTTTTTCAAGGCATTGTTACCAGTAACTGATCTGTGCGTTCTAGGCCTCTGTCATCTAATGTGAAGGCAGAAAGCCCATGACGTAAGATTCAGGTTTTAGATATTGCCAGCAAATTTCTGACAGCAATTAGGCATTTTTTGTCAGGTGTGTGAACTCTGCAGATTTCCTTTTGTTCTAAAATCCCTGTTCTTGGGAATGTTTGCAACCTCAAGAGAAGTGTATGGCTGCAAATAACATTGCCACATTAAAAATCTCAAGACCAGAATCAAGATATGTGATTTCCTCCTTTCTTCCCTTTTTCTTTCATTCTTGTTTTTCATTTCCTACTGTGTGCCACTTACTTCAGCAGTGAAACTGGCAGATGTAGCCCTTATCCTCACAGAGGTTATATCTGGTATCAAAATAGAAAAATTAAATAATTATAGTTTTTATGATGATGGTAATGAAAAGGTAAGCACAAACTTTTATGAGTACGCAGGAGAGGTATCTACTATATCTTAAACTTCAGAGTCAAAGTAGTCCTTTCAGAAGTTGCATCTATGTTGACACCAAGGATTAATAGGAATTTTCTGAGCAAAGAAGGGTATAGATGGGTGGGGTTGGAGAAAGGTAGAAATAGGGGAAAAAAAAGGGTGATTAAGAATGAGAGAATACTATTTGTTGGATTTGGAGCAAGAAATCAGTCTCTTAGAGAAGTTATGTCCGTGTGGAGCCCATCCTTCCATTGTTTTCTCAGTTCTTGAGCTTTCCTTTCTATTCTCCAGTCTATTTGGTCCTGTCTATGGATCCCAATCCCAATTTTTATTTCTAGGCACTGACCCTGTCCAACTTGAACAGGAAGCAGTACACCATCGGGGAAACAGTGAACCTGATGTCTGTGGATGCCCAGAAGCTGATGGATGTGACCAACTTCATTCACTTGCTGTGGTCAACTTTCCTGCAGATTGCCTTATCCATCTTCTTCCTGTGGAGAGAGTTGGGACCCTCAGTCTTAGCAGGTGTAGGGGTGATGGTTCTCCTAGTTCCAATTAATGGAATACTTGCCACCAAGAATAGAAATATTCAGGTAAAGAAAACAGTCATTTGGGGGTTACATATCTTCTTTAAAGTCCGAACTCTTAACACTTTATTCTAATTTTCAGAGGGAATTTGGGCAAGATAAAGCTGGTAGAGACTTTCTACCATCCCCAAAGGCTTTCTTTCCTGCTTTTCATCTTCTGACAACTCTTAGGGTCTATACACTCTTCTTTTCATTTATCTGAAAGGACAAAGCCTGAGTGAAGAGGAAAGGGCAGCCCTGGAAACCCTGTACATAACTATTCCACCTTGCTTTGCTGGGCTGCCCTCCACACGGTGGTTTTTGACCCCTGTTGTTTATCATGGTGCAGAATGATGAGTGATCCGAATTTTCAGTTTAAGTCCCAGAAATCACTTTGCTGTCACCAGGTGGAAGGGCTAGGTATCACAGGTTAGGAATCACAGGTTAGATGGATTTGATGGTATACACTTTTTTTATTCACTTGTTTTGCATTCATTTATTTACAAAGAATTGTTTTGAAAAAATTATTACACATTTTACTTTTCTGAGAACACGACAGTAAATTAGACAGAGCTTTTGCTCACATGGATCTTATATTTTGCTTAGGCAGTAAATAAAGAAAAATACCAGGTCATGCTAGAAACTATACAGGGAATTAAAAGTGAAATGATAGTGAGTGGGTGATATTTTCAATTAGGAGGTCAAAAGATTCCTCTGAGAGGAAACACATTTAAGCCAAGCTCTGAATGACAAAAGTCTGACTATGAAAAAGTGAAGGAGAGAGAAGAATAACCTGAGAGGAAAGGACAGTCAGGCAAAGGCTGAAGGGCAGAACCAAGCTAGGATGAGAGTTGGAAAGAAATGAATGCCATCAGGACATCTCAGATTCTGACTACGAACCACTAGTACAGCTGAGGCCTAATGTCTGCACCAAAGCTGTACCCTGTCTCATGAAAGGGTTTGGTTTTTGTTTTGCTTTTTCCTGACAGTTCAAAAACATGAAGTATAAGGACAAACGTTTGAAGACCATGAATGAGATTCTCAGTGGAATCAAGGTAAGAAGTCAATGAGGAGAAGAAGTGTTGAAGGGAGGAGATTGGTACGGGGAAAAAAGAAGAATCAAGATACATTATGTACAGGTCCAGATTCCCCATGAGGAAAGTGATCATTGTATATATCAAAAGCGTACCAACAAAGTTAATTTTTAAAAAGAAAAGGAAAAGAAGCCAAGTGTAAGCATATGGCTGGGTACAACAGAAGCTGTGAATTTCTTGGCCTTAACAAACTCTGTTAGAGGTTGTGGATTCCTGCTTTTTGGCTTATTTTGTGTCAGCTGACTCCTGCTTCATTTACCCACAAATCTCCTGTTTTATTTTCTAATGTCTCTCTCAGGGGCTTTTTAAAATATTGATTTCTATTTATTTAACCCAAGTGGGGTTGTTTATGTTTTTACACCTTACCATACAGAAGTTTAAGCATACACAAAAGTAGAGGATGAGATAATGAACCTGCATGGATTCATTCCCCAGCCCTGGCAATCAACAGCCTGACTCCACTAGTTTCATGTATATTTCCGCTCCACACTTTACACCTGCTGTGTTATTTTAAAGCAAGTATCAGATGTCTCGTCCTTTCATTCATTTTATACATTTTTATTCCTAGTGCATGCTTGTAGTACAGAATGAATACATTCATCACGGGAAGTTGATACATGTATATAACACCTCTTAATTTTTTTGCATATCTTTCCTCTCCCCTCCTTCCCACCTCTATCTTTTGGTCCCCTATGAGTTACTTTTAGAGTAAAACTCCGTGCTGCTTGTGAAGTTTACAATAACCATGTGCTTTTCTTGGGGCTAGTGCTGCCCGCCCCATCTACTGTTTCTCCTTGGAGATGCTGACCCCCTCTAGGCTTACCTTGTCTTAATATAACTGTAATTCAGTACTGTTATCGTACCTTACAAAAAACACCAATTTCCCCATTGCTTCACATTTGTTTGTTTGTTTTTGAGAAAGGGTCTTGCTATGTAGTCCAGGCTGGCCTTGAACTCAGCGTGACCCTCTTGCCACTGCTTCCTTAGTGGTAGGATTACAGGTGTGCTCCCCCATACCCAGATTTTATCTGCTTTTTTCCTATTAGTTAATTAACATAAAAATATAAGAGTGCCTACACATGGCATTTAGTTGGTAGTGATTTATTTATGTGTTTTTTGTTTGTTTAGAGGTACTGGAGATTGAATCTAGGGCCTTCACATGAAGCTACATTCCCAGTCCACTCTTTTTTTTATTTTAAAAATAAAAGGAGGAAGACATTAACAGAGAGACAACCTTTTACAAAATAGCAAAAGAGCAGTATCAACAATGCAGAGTTACAAACAAAGTGGTAGGAAATTAACAATGCCTCTTGTATTACATATTGATATCTTCAGAGTGGTTTCTCATGAAAACAGATAGAGACATGCAATATTGATCAGTCAAGGACTCATTGACAGTTTCTTTCAGCAAAGAAATAGAAGACAGCAGAACAACTATGTTAACTATCCTGTATATACGTACATATAAAATTTCTCCTTCTTTCTCTTCTCTTTTCCCACATCCCAGTTGCCCTTTACCCTTGAGTGTTTTCCTATCATTTCACAATGTCTCTCATACCTCCTAGTTTCAATTAACTCTTTCAGGTTTTACACTAGTGAGGCAATGCGGTACTTGCACATGCAGGTCTGATTTATTTCACTTATGAGTGTGGTCTCTAGTTGTGACCATTTACCTATAAAAGTCTAGAGTTTATCTTTCTTTATAGCTGAGTAATGTTCCATTATATAAAAGTACCACAATTTTCTTATCCAGTCCTCAGTGGATGGACATTTGGGATGCTTCCACAACTTAGCAATTACAAATTGTGCTGCTATGAACATGGGCTCACATACATCACTGTGATACGATGTTTTTAGATCTTCTGGGAAAATACCCAGCAGGGGGATAGCTGGGTTGAATGGGACCTCTAGACCTAGTTTTGTGAGGAATCTCCAAACTGATCCACAGTGGTTTCACCAGTCTGCATTCCCACCAGCAGTGGAGAAGAGTTCCTATTTCTCCACAGCCTCGCCAGCATTTGTTATTGGTTGATTTCTTAATGCTAGCCATTCTTACTGGGGTAAGATGGAATCTCAATGTTGTTTTAATTTGCATTTCTCAAATGACTAATGATGTTGAACATTTTCTCATGTATTTATTTGCCATTAAAGACCCAATCCAGGGGCTGGGGATTTAGCTCAGCGGCAAAGCGCCTGCCTGGCAAGCGCAAGGTCGTGAGTTCGGTTCCCGGTACCGGAGAAAAATCAAAAACCAAAAAAAAAAAAAAGACCCAATCCAAAAATGGGCAGCTGAGATGAATACACACCATTCTTTATTTTTTATTTTGAGACAAGGTCTTGCTAAATTGCTTAGGTTGGGCTTGAATTCACAGTCCTCCTGTCTTAGCTTCCCAGCATGCTGGGATTACAGATATGTACCACCCCACCCAGAACCAACGCTGTTAATCTACAACACCCCTCCCAATCACACCCCTCCCAGTCACATTGAAGAACCCAGGTCATTCATCTTTCTTGTAAATTGGAATAAGATCTGTTAATTCATTTAGAGTTAGATCTAGATGACTGATTGGATTTAGATTAGGTTTTTTGAGGGGAGTACTTTCATTTGATCTGTGGCACTGTGTACTTCAAAAAGCAACAATGATGACTATTTCATCTGCAAAAGCAGTTTGTGACCCTGGCAGTACATGAGGATCACCCACTGAAGTTTGTGAAACCAACTGAGATTGGAGCTATATGGCGCTTCAAAGCATTTAAATTAGATTCTCTGGGTTCAAGGACGAGGTGTTTATATTTTTAAAAGGCTCCTTGAGTGATTTTAATATACAGCAAAGGTACAAAGCCATGGTTGTACAAATTTTACTATCACTGCTTAGGTTCACTTTTTCATTAGAAGTTGCAAAATGAAGAAACTATTTGAAAGAGTGCTATTTTACAATGAATTTCAGAAAATATTACAAGAATTATGTGGGTAGATCATAGAGACTGACTTGGGCAGTAGGTGGCACAACACGGCGTCTTGTCTTCCATAGAGAAACGGAAAAGATGTTTTAACGCACTGCCAGAGCTCGCTTCACTTACATGGTGTCCCACAGAATTTTCACAAAAGATGATTTTAAGGAAAGTACAGTTTCAAGCCCAGCAACATCAGCAGTACCGACAGCCCCTTTTTTGGGAAAGAAATTTAAATACTTTACTGTTGGGACTCTGTTTCTAAACCTAATTTGGTGGCAGTATTGTGTATTTATTTTATTTATTTATTTTTTTTTTGGTTTTTTTTTTTTTTGGTTTTTCTCCGGTACCGGGAACCAAACTCACGACCTTGCGCTTGCCAGGCAGGCGCTTTTGCCGCTGAGCTAAATCCCCAACCCCAGTATTGTGTATTTATAAAACAAAGCTAGCCATATTTAGGACAACTGAAGAGAAGCTGGAAAAAAAAAGGAAAACAAGCAAGCTTGAACACTAAAGCAACCTCAAGCATCTCTTTATGTTGATGATATTTTTTATAAGGAAAATAATTATTCAGATGATCAGGAATGTATGTAACTAAATGAAATCAAGAAAAAAATAACAGTATGCATTTAAAAAGAATTATGAAATTATATAGCAGTGCTTATAATGGGGCTAAGGGAAGTGCTGAAATACAGCAAAAGGTAGAAAATAATGTAGACTGTCACCCACTGTAAACATATGCCAGTGGCTGTGTTTTAAAGAAACAGGATTTTTCCTGGTGATCTCTGGTTTGGTTTTTTTTCCGGTATCGGGAATCGAACTCAAGGCCTCAAGCTTGCCAGACAAGCGCTGTGCCGCTGAGCTGAATCCCCAGCCCCCCTACTGGTGATCTCTGAATGTCAAAGCCTTGGCTTCCAGGCTTTGCATTATGTATATGAAAACAAGGATGACAATCCTAGATAATTAGACAAACCCAAAGCCTTTATATTTGATGCATTTTGTTTTAAAAATAGACCTTGTTTATCAGCTTCATCTGCAGTTCTATGTGAAGATTGATAAATCGGTTTTTACTTGTTTTATTAATAAAATTAATTTGGATATCTTGAAAAAAAATAAAAGAGTGCTATTTTAATTATTCTCTTGGTATCGATTACCTGGATTTTTATGAATAATTTTTTTTCAACAAGTTGGGTCCCTAAAGTGAAGTTTGTTCAGGATACCCAGAATAAATGTTTGCTTTTTTTTTCTTTATTTCCCAACTTTCAAAATAATGCACCTTGTCCTTTAAAGGTGATCAGCAAGTTCTTTTCTTTACAGTGCCCCCCAATACTGTTTTTAATTAAAAGATTTAATTTTATCTTAAGTTTCTTGAAAATGAAGCAGAGGACCCTTAAAACTCCCTGATATTTCTTAGCTGTGCTGTGTCTTTCTTCTAGTGTGGCAAAATGAAAAGATAGACATGGTTTTGAATCTCAGGTCTACCTTGGTAACTTTGGCCAAGGTACTTAGATTTTCTCGGCTTATTTATCATTTAAATGGAGCAACAGATAAGAGCTGTGCTCATTTCTAATCCATTAGATCCTGAAATATTTTGCCTGGGAACCTTCATTCGAAGACCAAGTCAACTATCTTCGAAAGAAAGAGCTGAAGAACCTGCTGACCTTTGGTCAGCTGCAGAGTATGATTATATTCTTCTTACAGTTAGCTCCTATCCTGGTGAGTACCAGAGGAGTCCGTGCACTGGGTAGGTTTTGGACCTGAGTTAGCTTCCTGAAGAGAAATGTCTGTTTTCGATGAATTCCCAGCACCTCTAGGCCTGGGAATCCAGAAAACTTATACTCTTTCCTTAAAACTTTATGTCATCAGCTCTATGTTATGCTCCCAGCTCTAATTTACTACTATTTGGTGGTCTAGAAGCCAAGAGCAAGTTTTCTGGATGTGGTATCCGAGAATGATTTGCATAGGAGGGTTTCTTCTCCTGGGGAGAGGTGGTATAAGTATACAGTGGAAGGAACATTGATGTATGAGCCCAGAAAACCCAGACTGTGGTCCTAGCAATCCACTGATTGATTTTGTGACCTTGTGCAAGATATTTCTTCCTCTTGTGGGCTAAATTTTCTCATCAGTAACATGCAGAGGCAGACATAATCCCCTAAATTTCCTTCAGTTTTGGTATACTATGTTCCTGAAACTTAGCCCAAGGCTGCTTGGACTGTTTTAGGAATAAATTGCTCTTGCCCTTAATCTTTCCAGGTGTCTGTGACAACATTTTCAGTTTATGTTCTGGTGGATAGCAACAATATTTTGGATGCAGAAAAGGCCTTCACCTCCATCACCCTCTTCAATATCCTGCGTTTTCCCCTAACCACGCTTCCCATGGTGATCTCTTCCGTGCTGCAGGTACATGATCATTGCTTACCTCTGATTAAAAGCCCAAGAGTCCACAGTGACTGTCCTGTTACATCCCATGTCTATCTTCTGCTGGTGAACTTTCTTTTTTTTTTTTATTTTTTTATTTTAAAGAGTAAAAGAAGGACAACATAGCAATAGGGGGATTCACCGAATTACAAAGTAGTAAGACATTATCAACGGTTATTTTACCTATTGGTATCTTCAGGATAGTTTCTCAGGAAAACAAATAGACAAGTAATAGTGAGTTACAAACAAAAGTGGTAGGAAATTATCAGTGGTTGTTATACTATAGCTTGGATTCTCCAAAGTGGTCTCTAGGAAAAACAAATAGAGCTATACATGAGTGATCAATCAAATAATCATTGACTATTCTCAATGGTTGTTGTTGAAGACACATAGTAACAAATATATATCTATTTACAAAATAGCATAGGAACAATAGAAACATTACGTAGTTGTGGACAGACTGGTAGGAAATCATCAGTGGCTGCTGCAATACATGTTGGCATCCTCAAAGTGGCTTCTCGGGAAAACAAAGATAAGCAAGAAAGATCCAACAAGTAGTTACAGCCCAAGGGTGAACTTTCAGTTGGAGAGATCTGTTTGGTCTCTATTGACCCAAAGTTTGATCTCTATTGACCCAAAGTTTGATCTTAATGAAATTATAACCTCTCTAAGCCCTAATTTATCTAACTATAAAATGAGGATAATCATACCAACCTCATCTACCTCACAGGGAGAAAATCTTGTGAAAGCATTTGGTGAGACTGTTAAGATTGTCTCTGGGGTTGGGAATTTTTCTAAGCCCCTTTCCCAGCCTAGTTTCCCCCCATATTTTTCTGAGGCTAAGGTATTAGTATAACATTAGGAAAAATATGGCACAAAAGGAAAGAAGAGACTTTCTCTTTGCATGAACCCAAGTGGTGGCAAATTTGGGAGCCTCACTCTGTCAGAAAATGAGTTTAGAGTGCAGGAGGCCTTAGATGGGCCAGGGGCAACATCTGGGTTTGAGCTAAGTCCAGTCACTGAGAAGGACCAAGGCCCAGACCTCAGGAGGAAATTCACAGGGAAGATGGAAGACTGATGAGGGGTCCAGAACCTTGAGGCGCAGAGGGAGTGCTATGGCCTGCATTCATCCCAGAAGTGGCCAACTTCAGACAGCCGTGGGGTTCCAGAGGTCTCCCTGTCCTGGAAGGTGTGAAGAAAGGCCAGTAAAGAAGCAGTATGTTCTCCTTACACAGCAGTTCATTACCTAGTAAAAGCAAGACTGGCCAAGGTGTCAGCTTCCTGTATTTCTTGTCCAGCTCTTAACACTGAACCTAATGGAGTCAGATGATGACACAGCCCAGGTAGCGGGGCATTCCATTTCTGAGGAGCTGATCCATAGAGCAGCTAAGCAGTTATATAGCCTGCCGTGATGCCCTAAGGAAGGAACAGGAAGAAAGCCTGACACTTTCTCAGAGGGTGAGCAGCTGTGAAAAACCTCATGACAACCTCCCTGGAAGATAGAAGACCGGTGCAGAACACCTTTGAAAGAAACTCCTTGAAAACTTCCCATGTCCTCACGTCCTGGGGATCCCAGGGAGTTTCACTAACACTTAGGTCAGCTGCAGCTTAAGTATTGGCCGGTTCTTCTATAGAACCGGTCCCAGTAGTGGCTCAGTTAGAATACTGGATGGGTCATCCAAAGGTAGACTCAGTTATTAAGAGGAAGACAGGGGCTCAGTTGCCAGAATTAAGTAGAAATATAGTTTTGTCTTAGAAGAAGGCAGGAGACAATTTTCAGAACTAGGGCTAAAGATTGGAAAGCGATAGCAGTAGAACTCCCTGAATTTTCTGAAGGGATGAAGTCAAACATCTTAATTTCCTTCTCTCCGGAGTGGGATGGCTTCCAGGGATGAAGAATGAATGAGTTTGTGTTGGGGGTCAGCAGACTCCAGCTGTGGCAAGTGGCAAATCATGGTCTGATGACAGTTGAAATCCTTTCCCTTCTTGTGTTTGTTGTTGCCTTTTAATTCTTCACATCCTTTGTGTTCACCTGTAGGCCAGTGTCTCGATAGAACGTCTAGAGAAATACTTGGGAGGGGATGACTTGGACACATCTGCCATTCGGCATGTCTGCAATTTTGGTAAACAAATTTGGAAGTTTCTTCTTAAAATTATTCATAGTGCTGGCATCCGAATTTTGATACACAAGGGCTTAGTGTAGCAAACTAAAAGGAAAAGTTAGAGATTAGTCTTGAACTTACACTTGTATAATAAGCATACTATTAATTTAAATTGCATTTGCACCCAGACCAGATTGCTCAGCTACATTGCTAAGCAAAGCTGGATCATCTCTTCTAAGAATAAGCAAAGAACCTTACAAAGAAATCACAAAGAAGTCAGGGTGGAAAGGTGTTGGAGTGCGTACCTGTAAACCCAGAAGGCTAAGGCAGGAGGATCACCATGAATTCGAGACCAGCCTGGACTACAGAGTGAGTTCAAGACCAGCTTGAGCTACCTAGTGAGACCGTGTCTCCAAAAAAAAGTCAGGACAGAGCCAAGTTATGAAACTGGAAAGATACCCTTGAGTGAAAGCACACACAGGAAGTGGAGGGCATCCATGGCCAGAGCAAGCAGTGGGTCTGGAATCAGGAGCAGAGAGGCAGAGAGGTTGTTGGATGTGTACCTCAGTGGTAGAACGCTTACCTGGCATGCACTAGGTACTACATTTGAGCCTCAGTCCTAAAAAGAAAGAAGAAAGAAGAATGGGAAGGTTTATACAAGAAGGTAGAATTCACATAAGAGGATTAGGCAACAGAGGGCCTGGAGATGTACCCAACATCTGTAGGTCAGAATCTAGGCTACAAAAGTTACGACTGCTGGCTAACAAAGAATTTCATATGCTGGCCGCTTCTAGTCTCATCCTGGGAGCAGTCACTTGCCTCATGTTAGTGAGGTACAGCTCCTAACAGAGGTGATCCTAGGACCTGAGAGTGGAAGCAGTGACACATAAGGGCTACAGAAGAGCAGACAGATATGTGGGGCATGTTACTAAAAGAGGGAACTTTTGTTTTCAATAGACAAAGCTGTGCAGTTTTCTGAGGCCTCCTTTACCTGGGACCTGGACTCGGAAGCCACGATCAGAGAGTGAGTTGTCACCTTGCCATACTGCTGTTCTTTAGGCTTTTCCTTGCTTTCTTGCTCTCAGAAAATTTCATATAATAGAACAAATGGGAAAACAAGCTATGTATATGTGTTCCATTAAATACTAGTGCAGGCTGGGGATCTAGCTCAGTGGCACAGTGCCTGCCTGGCAAGCGCAAGGTCATGAGTTTGATTCCTGGTACCAGAAAAAAGCAAAAAAAAAAAAAAAAAAAAAAAAAGAAAAGCAGTGTATTTCAAAAACTGTAAAAATTCTAAAGTAAATACTGGTGCAGGCTAAACCCCTGAAGACATGAGCTGAGAACTACGGTCCCGAGCTTCTCTCCGCCTGCTTATATACATTTGCCACCTTGCTTTACTACTGTGGGACTGTGACTCTGCAGCTGAGAAGCCGTGAAGACAGTTGTTCTCCAGATAATGAATGGAGCTAGTGCAGGGCTGACAGGTAGCCCAACCCTCTGGACATGGTAAAGGATGCACACAAGAATATAAACTCAATTTAAATTCATTTACTCATTTTAGAATAGTAATCAGGAGCACTGGAACCTGGTTTTCTTCCCAGTTGGTCAATAGGACCTGCCTGTGTAAGATTCAATTTCAGATCTGGAGTTTCACATCCAAATAACCCATTCCTACACCTCACTCTGCAGGCCCCTTCTTCTGTCATGCCACGAGCCAATCCCCTCTTGCTACATTGCTGCCCACAGTCTCTCTTAAGCGTGTAACAGCATATCCAATCACCCACTGAGCACATCACAGGCAGAGTACTACAGAAGCTCAAGCAGGCCACGTCTTTCTTTCCTCATGACCAAGCACACCTTGTCTCTCTTCTCATGACTTCCCTCCCTCCTCTCCTATTCCTACAGTCTTTGTCATGGTCCCTGGGGCTAGCCTCGGTACGAGTGCATGCAGGAGCCCTTGCTCTGAACCTGCCCCAAACCCAAGAGTTTCCTGTTGCAGAGAGGGAACAGGACAAAGCTCCCACTTTACTGATGTAAGTCCAGAAGTTCAGCTCAATGGGCAGGTTGAGCAAGACTACAAGCAAGTTTCTAATGTGCCAAATGTCCTAGGGACTCAAATAATACGGCTGGCACATAGAGCCTTGTGTGTTCCCAAGATTCTAGCCTAACGTAAACTGCTCAGCTAGAGAAGTCAGATCGTCAGTGGACAAGCCAGGGAATCTGCTTCCAGCAAGTATAACTCATTGAATAAATAAGATTGAGAAACACTGACTAAGAAGACGTAACATTTACTTCTTACATAACTAGATTTGAACATTATTTAGCAACTAGATTTTAGCCCAGCCCTGTTAGTTTAAAAACAAAGATCCTCAGTCCAGAGCAAGTGACCTTCCAAAGTCACACAGCCTAGAAGCGGCCAAGTGGGGACTGCGCTGAGCCAGAACTGTAGGGACCACGTAGGTTGTCTTGTTCAAGTACTTTTGGTCTTAGAGGAATTTTTCTATTGGAAGCATGCATTTGGCACAGAATTTAGAGATAAATTAAATAAGCTAGGACTCGTTTGTTAGCCACTTAAAGATAAAAAGAATATCACTAAAGAAGTATTTTGGGGTCTTATGTATCTAAGACAAATTTTCCAGTATTAAGGGGGAAACTGCCTAAACTAAACTCCATGGAGAGTCAGAAAAGTGGCATGAACTACTCATAAATATCCATGCTCCCCCCAAAAAAGATCTTCAAAATTTTTCTCTCTTTCAGCGTGAACCTGGATGTTATGCCAGGCCAACTGGTGGCTGTGGTGGGTACTGTGGGCTCTGGGAAATCTTCCTTGATGGCAGCTATGCTGGGAGAAATGGAAAATGTCCACGGGCACATCACCATCAAGGTGAGAGAGAATGCTAAGACTTCTGAACCTCAACTGTGGGCCACTCACTGTCATTTTCTCATTTGGGAGAACGCACTAGTAGGGGAGGCCTTGGTGACATCTGAGAGATTTGTGAACCATAGATTCTCTGCACCATCCCGGGGTCTCTGGGTTTTGTTTTTCGTGTTTTTGGTGGGGAGGGGTGCTTCATCAGGAATTACACTTGGGACCTTGTGCTTGCCAGGCAGACACTGCGCTGCTGAGCTATAACCCCCACCCTGGTCTCTAGGGGGTAGAATCTAAGAATCTGCATTTTTAACGAGCTCCCAGTTGGTTCTCGTATGCATAAAAGTGTGATAACTATTGACTAGAGATATCTTCCTTCAAAGTCCAAGTATTTCCACTGTATTTATGCGTTTCTGAAAATCTCAAATTCTGCAAAATTGTGCAATAAAAATAACAGAACCTAGAGGGAACAGCGTTGTTAACACATGACTAAGAACTTAATGCCATGCATGCTGACACATGTCTGTAATTCTAGCACTCTAGGAAGCTGAGGCAGGAGGATCTGAAATTTGAGCCTAGCTTAGGCAACTTAGCAAGACCCTATCTCAAAATAAAAAATAAAAAACATTAGGGATGTAGCTCAGTGCAAAGGCCCTGAGTTCAATCCCCTGTAAAACACACACACACACACACACACACACACACACACACACAAATAACCAACAGAAACAGTGCCAATAGTAACAAAAAACAGAATAGTAAAAACAGTAGCTTTGGAAAATCAGCACTGGCATTTGCATCCAGCATTACGAGTAGTCTAGGCTTCTTGCCTTCTGTTTTGCAAGCTAGACCTTTGACGGCGTTTGTTTCCAACACGAAAACTTGGGACAGGGTGTTGACTTCCTCATCAATCATAACTTTTCAACATAGAGGGAAATGTTTTCAAGGCACCTTTATGAACACTCTGAACTTCCCCAGAAAGCTAAATTTAGGGGAAATTATAGGCATTTTTATATCATTAAATCAACCACCACTTGCACTAAAAAATTTACATTTTCAGCTTTTTCCTTAACATCTTCATATATCGCTAATCAGTTTAACAAAAATCCACATCCTTCGGACCAACTTTCATACATTGCTAAAGTTTTATTTTTAAATATGAGAAAGATTACTCCTGATTCTTTATATTGACCCTCAATAATTTACAAAAACACATTTTCTTTTACAATATTCTAACATCACTGTATACCAACTCCTAATGAGCTAATTTGCATCTTTAAGGACCATGTACTATAACAGAAAAGACTATAGATGTGCATCCTACCTCCTTTTGAGAGGCTTTTTATTGCCAGTTCAAAACTGAGTTCTTTCTCAAACACAGGCATCTGTCAGCCTCTATGTCACTTTGAACATAACCTCCTCAGTGTACCCTCTGGTGTTCTGGTCTAATCTCTAAGTTTTTCCTTCCTAAAGTGTCATCTATTCCAATTCTTAACAGTGTGAGCACTGTAGACTTAGGAAACTCACTGAGTCTGACTAAAGCCATTATCTAGAAGAAGCATGTGCATTAATCTTCTGATTTTTCAGGATTAATGTCAAGAAATTGATAGTCTAATGGAGGGAATGTTAAATGGTGAACAGGATATTGAATCTTGCTTCTTGGTCTGTACCGTGCAAACACGTTAATAAATATCAAACGTTTAGGTAGCCTGGCACATTGTTCTTTGAACCCAAGCTCTACTTTTTTTGTCGTTACTCCTGCCGCCTCATCTTTCAAAGCCACATTTCTGGAAGTACAGCTGTCATATGGTCTGATCCTTTCCCATCTAGGGCACTACAGCTTATGTCCCTCAGCAGTCCTGGATTCAGAATGGCACCATAAAAGACAACATCCTTTTTGGATCAGAGTTGAATGAAAAGAAGTATCAGCAAGTTCTGGAGGCCTGTGCTCTCCTCCCAGACTTGGAAATATTACCTGGAGGAGACATGGCTGAAATTGGAGAGAAGGTATATGAGACAGCAAGGGACCTTGAAGGGTGAAGAAATATTGAAGAAAAACAGCGAGGATGACGGGAGAAATTCACGGGAGTGACGTAGTTGCCTGATCTTGACAGTCAGGTTTGGAACAAACGCCAGAAAACTGGAGTTCACACTCTTCGCCCGTTTTGTGCAAATAGCTCTGAATTTTTAAACTTGATACCTGGAGGCAAAAACAGAAATTCTTGATTTAAATCAAAGCTAATGAGAGACTATGCCATTTATTTCACCTGTGTTACTAGTGACTGGCTCAAGGTTTACCTGTGTTATTAAATGCTTTTTAAAAAGATTTTAATGACACTGATTCCATTGAATAGATCAGCTTAATTTGCTTCATAGGGTGTTTTCATTTTTCCTTTCCATTGATAAAAATGAATATAATAATCCTTTTGAGGGACAGTGATTTTCAGATGCTAGACTAGTGCAGACATAGGTCCAGAATGAGTTTGTCTATTAATTCAGCATGCATTTGCTGAGCCACTGTTAGCCTAATATCCATAAACTGAACCTCTACCCTGGCAGCAAGCCACAAAAATATTGAATAAGTAAATTATACGATAGAAAATGCAACCTTGGGCCTGCCTTTGATTATTTGGTTTAAAGTTACTTATTTCAACCAAACTTATTTATTTGCATAAAGAAACATGAGATTTTTAAGCCCTTGAAATGTGATTGAGGCAAATTTCTTCCTTTTACTCCTTGTTAAACTCTGTAAAGTGGAACTAGGGAGTAGTATTTAATAGAAATTATTTTCTTCTTCAGGGTATAAATCTCAGTGGTGGCCAGAAGCAGCGAATCAGCCTGGCCAGAGCTGCCTACCAAGACTTAGACATCTACATTCTGGATGACCCTCTATCAGCTGTGGATGCTCATGTAGGAAAACATATTTTCGATAAGGTCTTGGGCCCCCATGGCCTGTTGAATGGCAAGGTGAGAAAGCATTCAAAGCGATACATGGGTGAGGCGATGTTCTGAAGCAGATTTCCTTATTTACTCGCTCCCTGGGCCTCTGAGGAGATACAGTATCCGACTGATCTCCTTGGAGCCGGCCCCAAGAAGACTTCCATCATGAAGTTGTGGTTTATAATGCAACCGGCTCATTTGAGCCTTATTCTGTGGCTTTAGTGTTGAACCTCTTAGAATGATTTTGTTAAAAATATTTATCCACTTATAGTTACAATAAGAAATGTGTTAGGTCTTTGTCTTCATTTCCGGGCACAGAGTTCCTAAACCCCATGGAATTTCAAGAGTGATAGGATTGTCTTTTGTTATTCCTAGGCCCCTCTGATCACACCTGAGTTTATCCTAATGAAATGCCTTAGGGCAGGATTGCTGGATAGCTTTGTTATGGGGTTGATGATCGCCAACAGGAGCAAGTAGTTAAAAGGTTGGAACTTCCAGCCCTACCCTCTAACCTCCAGGTAGAAAGTGGTGGTGGGACTGGGTTGTAAAAGCTCTTGAACAATGAGATTTAGAGAGCTTCCAGGTTGGGAGCACCTCAAGATGCTGGGAGGGTAGTGCAAAGTGAGAAGGCATGAAAACTCTGCATCACCCCCCCAGCCTGTCCTGTGCATTGTTTTCTTTTTGCTGCTCCTGAGCTCTGTCCCTCATAATAAGCTGATGAAATAAGTAAAGTATTTTCCTGAGATCCCTGAGGCTTTCTGGAAAATTATGGGACCTTAAAAGGGAGTCTGGTTTATGGCCAGATGTCAAAATTATGAGGAGCCTGAGACTATCTACTGGTATCTGAAGTGTGGGACATTTTTACTGGCCTTTAAACTAGGAGTCTGTGCTAATTTCAGGTAGTTAGTGTCAGAACTGAAGTGAATTGTTAGACACCCTACTGGCATTTGGGAGCACCCCCAGAGGACCCAAAAACTCACTTGCTGGTGGGACACAGGCCATCCTTCAGGTATAAGGGTGATGCTCTGAGAAGGCACTGTCCCGGGAATGTTTGCAGGACCTGAGAACATCTTGCCTAGAAAGGGTGATTTAACCTGAACATAGAAACAATCTTTAATAGTTATTTATTAAATATTCATTCATGTCCCAGACCCATGCTAAGTAATTCCACTGTTTGCTCATTGGATTCTCACAATGACCTTATCTGACAGAACAGGTAAAGAAGGCAGACAAAAAAATCACTGGATCTGGTTGTAGGTGGAGATCATGCCTTTGTGACTGTGGGGCAAATTGGCATGTGTATCCTGACACAGTGTACCAAAATTCAAGAAGGGCTGACAGAACCCCTCCGTTGCTAACATAATTTCCCATGGCCCTAGGCAGGGAGATTCTAACAGTGTTTGGCCTGTTCCCTGCAAGATTCCTGAATGCTGCTAGTTCAGATGGGTGTGAGCTGGGCTGCTGGTCCCCTGAGGCCCTTCGCCTCTCTTTTGAATTGGTGGACCAGGGGGAACTCACTCTCCTATTTTTGGTCCTGGGTTCAGTCCTTATGGCTGCCTTAGTTTCATTAGTTTTTTAAACTGAATACTCACCTTGTGCCAGGCTCATTGCACCCATAGATGGAAAGGTCTAAGGCTGGGGATATAGCTCAGTGGCAAAAAGCACTTGCTTGGCAAGTGCAAGGTCATGAGTTCAATTCCCAGTACCGAAAAAAAAGAGAAAGGTCTGGTCTTTGCTGTCATGTAGTCACAATTTAATGGATAGACATATAGAAAACAAACAATAATGTTACAATACCGGAGTTATTTTCATTGTTGTCTGTATAAACGATAGTGGAAACATTGGAGGAATATCCAGGACTTACTAGAAGGTTCAGGAAAGGAGCCAGAAGAGCTGGCTTTGAGCTGAGATTTAAAGGATGAGCACATCCTGGAGATTCCAGATAAGAAAGGTCTAGTCTCTGTTGGGTTGTGAAGTAGAGCATGAAGGCAGTGGTTTTAGCTTATCTCTCCAGAAACCTGTCACAACTTCATAGCTCCCAGTTCAGCCTTGTTATTAACCTGTAAGTGTTTGTCTTTCTGTCCGAGTGGACTTCCTGTCTCAGTAGTTGGGTGAGCAACACAAGGGAAGACAAGTCTCCCACACCAAGGAGAACCTGGTTTAACGTTTCTTGTCCACAGTGTCTCTAACATGCGAACTAAAAAGCTCTTTGGCACAGCTGGTTAGCTGGTTAAAGAAAGACTAGTAAGGGGCAGTGCGTGTTACCCAATTAGTTAGATTTGTGTGCACCAATTATAATAATGGGCACTGGTGACTTTCCTGAATTCCATCTCCTGCTATCCCAGGACATGAAGGAGGATGTGTGTAGGGTAAAACTCATTTTCACTACAGGAAAATAACTATGAGAAGATCCATGGTGCTCAAAGTCTCATTTCACAAGAGTCAGGTTTTAAGATGTGGTGCTGAGAAGGAAGGAAGAAAGGAAGGAAGGAAGGAAGGAGGGAGGGAGGGAAGGAAGGAAGGAAGGAAGAAAGAAAGGAAGGAAGGAAGGAAAGAAGGGAGGGAGGGAGGGAGGAAAGGAAGAAGGGGGATATAAAACAGGCCAAGTGATCAGGACTACATTTTGAAGCAAAGCCTCAGTGTAAATGGATATCCATGCACTTCCCTTTTAAGAGTAATCCAGGGAAGAGGCTGGACATAGGCAAACAGCACAACTTCATGTTATTTTTACAGACCCGACTGTTGGTTACACATAGCATTCACTTTCTTCCCCAAGTGGATGAGATTGTGGTTCTGGGGAATGGCACTGTCTTGGAGAAAGGATCCTACAAGGCTTTGCTGGCCAAGAAAGGAGTATTTGCTAAGAATCTGAAGACATTCATAAGACATTCAAGTTCTGAAGGGGAGGCCACAGGTATGTAAAGAGTATTGGGACAGAATAGCACTTGGGGCCTAGGTGGGAATGGTAGACCACTATCTGTCTCCTGTTTAATATCCAATGACCTACATTTGGAAGTGAATTTACCCAAAGTTTCAAATGCTGCTCTTCTCTGTTCTGGGTAAAGAAACAAATTGAAATTGTAAGCCTGCGCCAAATTGGTGCCTCACCCTACTTACCTGTCTCTGACATTCAAACAAGGAACATCTTTTAGAAGGGTACAACCTAAAGTTGGGTGAGAAATCCTTGTGGGAAGAACACCAGTGAAGGCCACACTCTTATTGATTCAAATCATACATCCTATTCCAACTACTGCAAACTCATTGAAATCAATTTCTGGCTGGTACTGTCACCAGTTAGCTTAGGTCCTTGCTTTTAATAATAATGGAAATTAAAACTAAACTATGATCTTCAAGAGAAAAAAGCTTTAATTGGAAAGTTAGGGGAAAGATAGGGAAGGACTCCAGTTTAGGTGGCTGCAGAGGGTATACTCACAGGGGCTCAGACTGACCCATCCACAAAGGCAGGTGGCCAGCTTTCAGGGTTAGCTGGTAGGCTGGGATTTGGTTGATTATCTCAGTTCTGGTGTCATAGCTCTGGAATCCTTCTCACTGAGGGCTAGACTCAGGTGGGGCTCTGCCTTTCCATAGGTTCAGGACAATGGCTAGAGACTTCATTGAGTGTCCTTGGAAATCCCTCATCCTGGTGTCCTTAATCTTGAAGAGGGTGAGATCATGTAAATTTTGGGCTAATTAACCTCGTTTGCTAACTCCTAGACAGACACTGTCCCAATGAGTAGCATAGCTATATGAAAACCTCAGAAGAGATTTGACCCAAAGTTTTAAGGTAACAAAGTATACAACATGATTGGCTTTGTTCTACTTTTGGTTACCAATTGGGTGTCTGTAGACCTAAGTGAAAAGTCATTGTTTATGGCAAAAAAAGGCTTTTGAGTCCCTGACTATCCTAGGAGAAAACACAAATCATGCTTCAAAGACTAGTGGGTGAGGGTTCAGGATCTTGCCTGTTCCCCACCGTTATTGTGGTCCCTAACTATGCATCAGTATTAATAGTACACTCCTAAATTCTTGACAAGCTTTAACAAAGGAATCTTGATTAAAACACCAAACACTACTGGGTGCATGAATCAGAAAAAATCATGACAGCTGTGGAGTGTCATAGTATACCACTGCAACAGCCCCGGACATTGTCACCATTGGGTTCACTGGTTAACTCCAGTTAGCAGTGGAGCCATTTACTGTGACTCTTTCCAAGGACCTGCCAGTAAGTAGTCTTGGGTATAGTGATCATTATCAGCCTCACTAGTGATCGCCAGGAGGTCAGGATTGAGCAAGCAAGCTCTGTGTGGCATCCAGTAATCAGTCAGAGGAGGGAGCATCTATAGAACTTAAGAAACAGGAGCGTATTTTGACTGTGAGGTCAGAGCCTCAGGCAGCTATGACGTTAAAGAGTTGCTGTTGATTGCTTCAGCTTGCTCTGAATAAGAGCAAATAATGAGAAGTTTTGCGAGTGGAGGTTTTCAGGGAATCCCACACAGGGAAAACAACGGCATTCTCCTGGGCTGGGGCTGTTGGAGTTTGAGACCCACTCTTCCCCTTAGGTAGCTACTAGGCTGCTAGTTTGCTTGGCCACCATGATTTTATGGTTGTTGGTTTTCTAAGCTATCACTACCGAGGAGATGGGGATGGAAGTAGGGTTAGGTAAACCACCACAAAGTGTACTATTCTTACCAAGATCCAGTCTCTTAAAAAAAAAATCAGTGAGCCTTTAGATTGTCGCAACCCTTTGGTCGATTTCAGAGTTCTGAAAAAGTTGAGTTTGACATTTTTCTTCTTCTTTCTTTTTTTTTTTGTGCCAGTATTTACATCATCTTTTTGGAGGAGTAGATTTCTGGAGATCCTTTTTCTGCCATTCCACTGATACTCATGCTGTGCTTTACATTTGTTTCATTTTATTTTTAGGGTAGGTTCATTTAATACTCTCAATTAATGAAGTTTGTTAAATTGTGTGAACTTCAGGATGAAATGTTTCAGTTTGCAATCATTTCTTTAGTGAATTCTTGGGAAGGTGACTTCTGTTTGTCTACCATAATTCTTAAAAGTTCTTTTCTGTTTTAAAAGAACTTATAACTCTTGGAATATTTTTTCTCTTTTTTTTAAATCATTTTCCCTTCTTGTGGAACATTAACACATCTCTCCTTATCATGGCATTTCTCAATAAGAATATATACAGAAAGGGATAGGGGATGTAGTTCCGTGGCAGGATACTTGCCTAGCAGATATACGTCCCTGCGTTCAATCTGCAGTACTGCAAATGAATAGAATGAAATAAAACAGAATAGAATGAATACTAATAATTGGGATTTAGGGGGTAAAGTCTTGCTGCCTACATCTGGAATCCCTTGCTGAAACCAACCAGATCAGAGAAGGCTTTTCTCTCCTTGTTCGTAGAACTATGAGAGCCCTGTGCTATTTCCCTAATCTCTGATATGTCTCCCTAGTAAATGACGGTAGTGAAGAAGAAGACGACGACTGTGGACTGATACCCAGCATAGAGGAAATCCCTGAGGATGCAGCCTCCTTGACCATGAAAAGAGAGAACAGCCTTCATCGAACTATGAGCCGCAGGTGGGCTATTTATTCAGCTGTCAACCTTCATCCTTTCCATATTTCTCCTTGATCATTCTCTTTTTCTCTGGGTGTCCTTGAGTGGTTGGAGCCTCATGGACATTCCTAGTTCTTCCTTTGCTGCCTTGTGTGGGCAGGAGGAAAGGCAAGGGCTGTGTCGGTTTTCCATGGTCATCTATTCTGGGACGTGCTTTGGTGCCAACAGAGCTATTATGATATCTTCTGCAAGATACCCCCGGGAAGTATCTCCCTTCTTAGGAAAGTTTCTCCTTTTCTATCTCTCAGCTCTAGGTCCAGTAGAAGGCATCTGAAGTCCTTGAAAAACTCCTTGAAAACTCAAAATGTGAATGCCCTGAAGGAGGAAGAAGAAGTAGTGAAAGGACAAAAACTAATTAAGAAAGAATTCATGGAACGTGGAAAGGTGAACACCATGCAAAAAGCAACATCTGAGATGATAGAGAGCCTAAAATATGAAATTTTAAAATTAGCTCAAACTTGAATACATATCTACAGGAGTAACATGTTCTGTTTGTTATGAATCTTTAGATTCTTTTTTCTTTATTAAAATTGTAAATCAGGCTATGGGGTTTCTATCAAATCATATACCTATGATAAATGCCATGTTTCCTGTAAATATCTTGATCCCATCCTTCATGAGTATTTGATTCCATTCTAATGTATGGAGAACAACAAAACTGCCTGGAGATGCAATTCTAGGAGCCAAGAAATGCTAATAGATCAGACCCAGAGCATACAATTCAAGTTCATTGAATTGTATGAAACCACAAAGGCCAAGGTCGACAGAAAAACTCCACATCCTACACCGTTTTGACATTTTCCCATCTTAATCATCTTCAGGTTCTTTCAATAACTTGATTGTTATTTACTCTGCATTGTGTTTCAGCGTTAATCTGTTATCCTGGCCCAGTTCAAAGATAGTGACCACAGATCACCAAATTTTGCTATTTGTCATTATCCACAATTCCAGGGGTTTTCTAGGTAATTCTTCACCAAAAGCTATGAGAGCGTCTACCAATACTGATGGGGTCTTTGCAGGTGAAGTTCTCTGTCTACATAAAATACCTACGAGCAATGAGATGGTGTTCGATAGCCTTCATCGTCTGTTTCTTCATGATGAATTCTGTGGCTTTTATTGGGTCCAACCTTTGGCTTAGTGCTTGGACCAGAGACTCTCTGATCTACAACGGCACCAACTATCCAGCCTCTCAGAGGGACATGAGAATTGGAGTCTATGGAGGTCTGGGAGTAGCACAAGGTATTTGTAATGGCTATGACAGCCATTTTTTTTACAGAATCTCTGGACCTTGTACTTTTCTAGTGCTCAGGAAAACATTTGTTATTATATCCTGGGCACAAATGTTCAAGGATTATTGTGTATGATGTTGATAGAATTGTTTTCATTTCTAGCTGTATTTGTGGTCATAGCAAGTATGTGCAGTGTATTCAGCTGCAACCATGCATCAAAAACCTTGCATCAGCAACTGCTAAGCAATATCCTCCATGCACCTATGAGGTTTTTTGATACAACACCCACAGGCCGGATTGTGAACAGATTTGCTGGTGTAAGTATCTCAAGGGATCTATGGTGGTGTGTTTATATGGTGATGATCTTTCTATTTCTTATAGGAGGGAATTCTGAACCCCTCTCACCAGACAACTCCGTGCAATTCCGGTTATTTTGTTCACTCAGCATGCACATATTTTTTGAGTACTTCCTGTTAGATCCCAAGGATCCTAAAGATGTAGGGATGAACAAACAGCTCTGGCCCTTCAGTAGCTACTATCTATTGGAGGAGACAACCAAAGAAATGAGGAATTATGGTAGAATATGATAAAATCAGCAAAAATGTGTTTATAGAGGTGTTCTGGAAGTGGAAAAAAAATAACAGAAAACAGGTACTGGCTCAATCTGGATGATAGAATATAAGAAATGTCAGAAAAAGTGAAATAGTTCAATAGTAGAAGTAAGGCAGGGAGATGGTGAGGGTTGTCGGGAGGGGGCGGGCAGTAGAAGCCTGGTAAGCAGGGCTATTTTGCAGAAGGAGAGGGGCAAAAACCTAAGTAAAAATGCTGACTTACCCTGTGGCAGCAAATGAAAGGCATCGTAGGGTAATCCTTTGCTCGATCTCTACCTTTATTCCTGAAACTTCTCTCTTTGGTGCTTTAAAAATTAGTGAAGCAGACACAAAAGCTTAAATATTGCATGGTTTCTCTTGTATGAGAAACCCAAAATATAAATGAAGAGCAAAATAAAAGACAGACAGTAGGAAGTAGGGAGAGAGATCTTTTTCAAATGGGAAGGGGATCAAGAAATGTGGGGAGGCCGGGGCTGTCGCTGAGCATTTCAGCATCTGCCTGGCGAGCACGAGGCCCTGAGTTTGGTTCCCAGTACCAAAAAACAAACAAACAAACAAACAAATAAACAAAAAGAAATGGAAGGAAGAGGAGACAGAGGATGGAAAGGGGATGTAACAAGAATTGAGAGTGCATATATCAGTTCCCTACAAGGAATGCAATCCTTGTGTACTACAAATATGTGCTAATAAAAAATAAAAACTGGGAAAAAACCCAGGCATGGTGGTTTTATATGTATGTATATATATATATATAAAGTGTCTGAGTAAGTAGCCTCAACTCTTTGTTTTTTTTTTTTTTCTTTTGTTGTTGTTGTTGGTTTTTTGTTTTTTTTTTGTTTTGTTTTTCTCCGGTACCGGGAACCGAACTCCTGACCTTGCGCTTGCCAGGCAGGCGCTTTGCTGCTGAGCTAAATCCCCAGCCCCTGAACTCTTTATTTGTGTGATCCACACACATAAGCAAACACGTAAAGAGTAGCTCACAGCCCAGTGCCAGGATGTGAGGACAAAACAACCACTTAAAACATGGGCAAGTAACTGGTCCCCATTTGTCACCTTCCTCTGGGCCAGAAACAGTAGACACATTATCATTGGAGACCTCATAAATTGGCTCTTTGCCTTTTAATAGAGCCTAAAAGGGAACACCCTTTTGGATGGAGACCTTTCCGACAGGAATTTTACAAAGCTTGCCTTTCCCATGTCATTATATTTGATAACTCTTATGAAAGAAAAGAGCATAGAGGTCTTTCTATGAGCTGGTTAGGCTACAGTTTTGCCGAGTGCTTTTGCATGAATAAGGAGACTATTGTTATTCATATCTACATTTTTTGGAGGAGGTGATGCAGACTTATAAAGGCGAGCTTGATCTAGGATCTTCTATATTCAGTGGCCGAATTCTTAAGAGGAGAAATAGCACGGGAATAACTGGGTGCACTGATACTCACCTGCAATGTCAGCTACCCAGGAGGCTGACCCAGGAGAACCACAAGTTTGAGGTCAGCCAGAGCAACTGAGTGGAACCCTGTCTCAAAGTAAAATTTAAAATGAGTTGAAGAGAGTCGGGCATGGCAGCATATGCCCATAATCCCAGCACTCAGGGGGCTGAGTGAAGCAGGAGGATTGCTGTGAGTTTGAGGCCAGCCTGGGCTACATAGTGAGTTCAAGACTGGCCTGAACTACATAGTGAGAACCCGTCTCAAAAAATAAACCAACAAACATAGTTGGGGATATAGCTCAGAGCAGGGCCCTGAATTCAATTCAGTACTGCAGAAAGAAAGGAAAGGGAAGAAGAAGGATAAGGAAAGGAGAATAAATGGAGGAAATAAGAATGAAGAATATGTGCTAGGTCAGGATCAAACATAACCTGCATAGAACTGATAGCTGATGAGAATCTCCGTCCCCTTTTTTCTTCCTTCGTTTGTTCGTTCCTTCCTTCCTTTTTCTTTCTTTCTTTCCTTCTTCTTCCCCTTCCTCTTCTTCCTCCTCTTCTTCTTCTTCCTCCTCCTCCTCCTTTTCCTCCTCCCATTCTCCCTTCCCTCTCCTCCTCATCCTCCTTCTTCTTTCTCTCTTCTGCCTCTGCCTCTGTCTCTGTCTGTCTCTTTGTCTGTCTGTCTCTCTCTGTCTCTCTCCCCGCCAACCCTGGACATTGTTACACATTCCATTCTAATGTGACTTTGGGAAAGGGAGATAGATAGACTCAGGAGTCATTCTTCATTCAGAGCCGTCTTAAAAGACAATTACGCTTGACCCAATTTGGGAAACTCCAGAGATAGTTTGACCCATGTTAGTACTTACATATTGCTAATCATAGAATCAATATAATCCTCTACGAAAGCTAGGGAAGGGCAACCTGAGGTATAAGCCAAGCTTCTTGGATCTGTTCTAAACCATTCATTCTCCATTAATTTTCCATTTGTTAATTTATTCCATGTGACAGGAAGGCAATATGGCAGCAAGACCCATCTGTCTGTCACCTCTGTGTTTCTTCATTAGAACACTGACCAGCCAGGGATCACGTTCCTTTCCACTTCCCTTTCCTCTTGAATTTCTATGCTTGGCAGACGAAACATCTTCTCCATATATGAGGGTTCTTTGGTCAAGGATAGGTGACAAGACTTGTTGACTGGAGCTTCCAAACAAGCGCTTGTTAAATGTTTGTTGTGTTATAGGCTCTATTCTAGGTACTCAATAGAGTTAGGAACTGTGTAAAGTTAGAACAATTGAATTGGGTTGGTTATGGGAGAGGGGTTTACCAGCATGGCTCTATTAGCTTGTAATAATTATGAATAATTTAATAAATTTGGTGAATGAGAATAGTGAAAACCCTCACTAAATCTGCTAAAGGTGAAGGATGATTGCTGTATCTGTTTGGAGGGACTTTGAAAAATGAGGAAATTTTGGAAATTGGATTGGTCGCTAGGGTAAGGGGTACAATCTATTGCAAATTAATATCTTTAAAAGATGAAATGAAATTCATTGGAAACACACAGTCAGATTCCTGGCTGGAACTAGAAGGATGTAAAATGTCTTAATAATTCATTGGCTCACTATCTCTCCACATGGTATTCCTAGGATATTTCCACCGTGGATGAAACCCTCCCTCAGACCTTGCGCAGCTGGCTGCTGTGCTTCCTGGGGATAATTAGCACCCTTGTAATGATCTGCATGGCCACCCCTGTGTTCATCGTCATTATCATTCCTCTTGGCATTATTTACGTGGCTATCCAGGTAGGTTGGGAAATGGCTGGGTCTTTGTTTCTCTCTTGCTTACAAAAGCCCAGTAGTGGTTTCTCTTCATTGCTAATTACCCCTCTGTAGCATCTTTGTCATTTAGTCACACATAGATGGCCCCAAGAGTCCACTGGCTATTGCCTGAAGTTAAATTGTAAGCATCCATAGATATATGGTTCACAGCACGTCTCACCCTAACGTGGGTTTATGTTTGGATTCAAGGCTACTTTAAGATTGGTTCTAGACAAAGTCTTGCAACCCCATAAGAACCTCCAAAATGGTTAGGTCATTTTAGAAGAGTTGTGCCATAACATGCTTGCTCTTTTAGCTTTGAATACATATATATGCTTGGTGATGTTTCCAACAGGAACTGGATCTCTTTTCACTCCAGGCAGTTCTAGTTTCACTGGGGTGTCTGTGGATGGTTTAGATTCAATTTCAACATATTCTTGGAGGGAACAGGTAACTTAGGAACCACATTTCATAGAAAAAGTAGAAAAGACTTCACACCCACAATAAGAATTGATGAGGAGAGTGACGCTTGGAGGAGAACTCCTGTCCCACCAGTTCCCTTTGTGATGAACTATTTATGTAGGGGACACAACCCTGAAAACCCTACAGGGTGGGTGTTATGGTCTGTGGCCTGTGGTAAGACAGCACCCCTTGCATTGTCCCATGGGTACACCATCATCTCCATAACAGACTTTTGACTGTTCATAAATCAACAGGTAAGGGGCAGGGTTATTTAAGAAAGTTTCTAGGTATAACTCTGATTCTCAAATGCCCAATTCTTCTGAGGTTTTAACAAATCCTTACAGAATCCAGTAATACCAGTATCTCACCCATCATACCTTGCCCTACAGAGGTTCCGGCTACAAATCCAGTTCCTTATACCCTCAACATTCTGCACATTTCCATTACTATCTTTACCTTCACATAGCACCAAGACAGAGTTTTACTTACAACTGACTTCTCCTCACATTTTACCCAAACCTCAGCATTCCTTTCACTGACTATTCTGTATCCAGACCCACTCTACATGCCTCTGAGTCCTAGAAAACTTTACAAAATCCTTTTGAAGACAGCTTCTCTAGCCAGGACAGAAACTATCATTTGGACGGCACACGTAGACTTCAGGGGATAATATGGGCTCAACTGACAAAACTCCTTATGTGGTCTGGAAACTCAAACCTCTATGGCTATGCTCCCCCGCAACCCCAATCTCCCCATTCTTCTCTTCCTTAGGCCTCCCTCTATTCTTCTAGCCAGTGGTGGCACTGCGGGCTTCTGTCCTGTGCAGATGTGGGCTGTGGCCAGCAAGTGCGGGATGCTGAGAAGTACAGTGTATGTGACAGGATTGTGTGACTGACACTTTACTTTTTGTGTTCAGATATTTTATGTGGCAACTTCCCGCCAGCTGAGACGTCTGGACTCTGTCACTAGATCCCCAGTCTACTCTCACTTTAGTGAGACAGTAACAGGTTTGCCCGTTATCCGTGCCTTTGAACACCAGCAGCGATTTCTAATGTCCAACGAGAAGTTAATAGACATCAACCAGAAATGTGTCTTTTCTTGGATTATAGCCAACAGGTGAGGTTCCCCCTGGATATTCACCCACATGTATGCTCTGGGGTTCTACCTGTGTGGCCAGTAATAGAAAACTCACACCAACCACACTACTTTCATGGTATCTAAGCAGGCCCAAGGAAGTCTGAGCTTCGGAGTTAGAGACCGGTTTCCTATGTCAGCTCTGCCAGTTACCAAGCTAAGTGAATTGCCTTGACCTCTCTAAGGAAAAGATGAATTTCTTTGTCTTTTATAGTGAAAAAGACACAATCTATCTTACAGGGTTATGGTGGGAGTCAAAACCACATTTGTGTGCATTTGGTGAGCCATACACGTGCCAGGCACACTGAACACTATTTACTACCCTAAGAAAGAGTATGAGATTCTCTGCAGGCATGATACTCTTTGTAGAGTGGTAGAGAAAGCACAAATTGGAGAGAGGAGAGTTGGGAAGTTGTAGGTTAAAAAAAAAACTTTTTAGGTAAAACTCTTCAAATACAATGTATTTAGGAAAACATTTAATAAACTTTTAGGAATACATTGAGGTATTGCTAAGTTAAATTAAGGCATCTCCTTAGAGCATAAGAACGCAAACAGGCAAACAGAAACGGGAAAACTCACATCCTGTGAGGTGAATTCCTGACTTGGGGGAGCATCATTACACTCTGGCAAGCAGTGGAAGGAGACAGGACTTTTCAGGAAGGAAAAATTCTTGAGTGGCTTCCAAAGTATCTTGAGGTGGTAAGGGCAGGTTAATGATGGTCAGTGCTAGTTGGAACATTCAGAGGTCAGGAATTTAATTATAAAGATGTTTGATTTCCTGGAGACTTTGTTTTGTTTTGTTTCATTTTTTGAGACAGGGTCTCAAGATGTAGTTCAGGTTGTCTTTGAACTCATTATGTAGCCCAGGCTGACCTTGAACTCATGGGGATCTTGGGATCTTTGACCTCAGCCTCCTGAGTTCTGTGATTACAGATGTGCTCTACCATACTGTTTATTTCTTAGAGACTTTGAGAGGAAGTAGGCATATAAGTAAATCCTACTGGATTCATGGTACCATGTTTATTTGTACACATATTAGAATCATTAATGTGAACTTAAATATAGTTTATTTGGGAAAGTGATTTTTTATAAACTGTCTTTTTACCTGTACTTTCAGTTCTCTACTAAGACCCAGCATACTTCCTTGAGACCAGCTCACGCTTATCTTCCCTCCACTCCCAGCTGTTTCTCTCCTTTTAAAAATGTTAAGATCAGACAGGAGCGGTGATCCTTTCTGTGGTGCTTGCTTTTTAGCCGTGCACAAGGGTTCACTAGGGCACTGCTTCCTTAGCCTGATCAAAAGAAACCACTTTTAGCATTCATCTAAAATGTAGATTCCTAAACTTATTTCAGGCCCCCTAAATCTGAATTTCCTGGGGAAAGTTATCAGGAGTTTTTTAGGTAAGCTTATAACAGTTGCCCTAGGTGATTCTCATAATTTGGCAACTTTAGAAGACTGCAATTTAAGCTTCCCTTACTTTAGAAAACTCCTCTAGGACCTTCAAAGTACAGTTTAGCCAGGTATATGGCACATGCTTGTAATCCCAGCACTTGAGAGGCTGAGGCAGAAGAATTACTACAAGTTCAGGGCCAGCCTGGGCTACATAGTGAGTTCAAGACTGGTCTGAAATACATGGTGAGACCCTATTTCCAAAAAAAAAAAAAAAAATTAAATTTCTTTAAAAACATTAATGGAATTTCTGGAATACATTGAGGTATTCTTAAATCAAATTGAGGCATTGCCGTAAGAGCATAGCGCACTCTTGAAGACATAAATGCAAGCAAAGACTTTATGAACAAAACTTTGATCACACAGGAAATATTACAAAGAATCAACAACTGAGATCTCATCATATTAAAAAGCTTCTGCACAGCAAAAGAAGCCACCAATAGAGTGAAGAGACAGCCCTACAGAGTCAGAAAAAAATGTTTACCAGCTATTCCTCAGACAAAGGATTAATAGCTAGAATATATAAAGAATTTTAAAAAATTGGACCCCTCAAATTTAAAGACTCAGTCTGTAAATGGGCATCTGAAATGAATGGACACTTTTCAGATGAAGAAGTACAAATGGCAAATAAATATTTGAAAAAAATGTTCAACATCACTGGTCATTCCAGAAATGCAAATTAAAACAACTCTCACTCAAGACAGAGTGGTTATCATCAGGAAATCAACCAATAACGAACACCAGAGATGCTGCAGGGAAAAAAGAACCCTTCCCCACTGTTGATGGGGGTGTAAATTGGTACCACCGATATGGAAATCAGTATGGAGGTTTCTCAAGATCTAGAACTAAAAGTTGCACTCGATCTAGCTATTCCCCTTCTCGGTATCTTCCCAAAAGAGTTAAAAGCATCATACCACAATGATATATGCCCACTCATGTTTATAGCAGCACAGTTTATAATAGTAAATCTTGGAAACAGCCTAGATGCCCATCAATGGATGAATGGATAAAGAACATGTATTTATGTACAATGGAGTACTACTCTGGCACAAAGGACAAATTTGAGACATTTTTATGTAAATGGATGCACCGTGAGAACATACTTTTAAGCAAAATAAACCAGATGCACATGTTTAAATATCACATTGTTTCTCTTGTGTGAGAAACCAAAAGGGTAAATAAGAACCAAAATGGATGTTAGATATTGGGAAGTAGGAAAAAAATGTTCAAAGGGAAGAAGAACAAGGAAATGGAGAGGGGGAAGGGAAGAAGGGAAAAGGGAAAAAAAGAAAATGGAAAGAAAAAATGGAAACAGAGCTTTTGTAAATAAGGGTGGGCAGGAAGGTTGAAGGGAGAGGAAAAGAATGGGGGAAGAAGAAAAATCAAGATATATTATGTACAGGTACAAATTCCTCCTGATGAATGTGATTCTCTCTCTAGAGATAGAGATAGAGTAGCAATAAAGTAATTTTTTAAAAAGCATAGGCCTACCAACTCAAACCTTGTGAGAATATTCTATAAAGTCCAAAGTTCCTGGTTAAGGAGAGAAAGGAGATCCGTGACACCTCTCTCTGATTTGGCTCCCCTACAGGTGGCTTGCAGTTCGCCTGGAGTTTGTTGGGAACCTGATTGTCTTCTTTGCTTCCTTGCTGCTGGTTATTTATAAAAATACCCAAACTGGAGACACCGTCGGCTTTGTTCTGTCCAATGCCCTTAATGTGAGTCTGAGGTTGGGGGTTTGGCTAAATGAATGTACTTATTCTTAAATCGATCTTGGAGTACACTATGAAGTCCATGCTTTTGGTTTCCTTCTAGGTCTAATGGGACTAGAGGAGCCTGAGGTTCAAACCCTGGCTCTATCTTTTACCCACAGACATACTCCTTACCCTTTCCAAGGAGGCACAGGTGGCATATGGGGAAGAAAAGGAACATAAGTGGTGTTGCCCTTGAGACTTAAAAAGGAAATTTCATGTGTTTCAATTTAATAGTTGCCTGTCTGTTTACCTCTTTGGCTGATTCTAGTCAAAAGACGAGAATAAATACATAAATACATAGGAATTTTTTCCAAATGTAGAAGTAATCAGAGAGCCACTTGGACAAATAATTTCTCCTGAGTTTGTTTTCCTTATCATAGAACAATTGGAGCCAATTATAACTAAGAGAGTCGGATAAGCTATTCCATTGTACCTCACGGCTGTACCCACACTGACTGGGAATAACGACCAGGCATTGCCACTTCTCGCATTGCAGTGCAGTAGCTGGCACCACAGTAACTGTCCGATAAACACTTGTTTAATAAGTGGGTCACTTGGCCATCTTTCATGGCATCTTTTAAACTAACGTTTTAGGGATTTGCAGAGCCGTTTGTGGGTTTTCTGTGATTCTGTCTTCGGCAGAAGTTAATGAGGCTCACTATGATCACACCAGGACACGTGAAAGAACTGTGGCACTTGCCAGAGTCACTTGGTTTGTTGTGCCACTGTCCCTTCATTGCCTAGGACATACAGGGTTGAATCAGGAAACTATCAGATCAAACCAAACAAGAGCACTCAAATACCAGCAGCTGCGTATGGTGCAACTCTACAAAGCAGTTCATCTTAGTTCCCATGATCCTCTCTTCTGTACCCAGTGGCTCGCTTTCTTTAACCACAATTTGCTCCATAAAATCTCCCATGCAGACTCCCCATTTCAGCCTGTAAGAAGTTTGCATCTGAGTAATCTCTCACCTCTAGACCAGCCCAGGTCATAATAACCCTTTTGTTGGTGGTTAGATATATTTCCGTAACAGCAGGGAGGCACTTGGAATCTATCTGTGTAAAGAAAGATGAGGGTCCGCAGGGATGTCTCATGATAACAGCTGAGGTTGAGTAAGAACAGAGAGAGAAGGACACTTTTTGGAAGGCCTTCTCCTGCCCTGGGTTTTTTTTATCTTTTGTTTTTTATTTATGCATTTTTTTTCACGCACTTCTCCATTTGCAGAACACCATCTACAACCCCTTCTAAAAAAGCACTAGATTTATAGCCAGGAGTTCTGAATTCTGGTCCTACTCAAATGTGTAGTTCCCCCAGCCCCACCTTTATCTCCAGACCTCTCCAAGCTCATCTTGCCTGTCATGTTAGCACAACACAGTTGAGCACTTTATTTTATTTTGAGACAGGGTCTCACTATGCAATTCAGGGGTTGGGCTTGAACTCACTATGTAACCCAGGCTTGCCTTGAACTTGAAGAGACTCTTCTGCTTCAACCTTCCAAGTGCTGGGGTTGCAGGTGTACACCGCCATGCCTGGCTGTGTACTTAATTATTAACCAGCCATTCAATGCACTGACCTTACCCTCCCACCAAAGAAACAGGATTATCTTTCTTTTACTGTGTATATTCTTGTAGAACCCAGCACAGTACTGAAGCAAGCACTGAAATGACTTTGTAGTTTGACAATTTGAGTTGGTTTTTGAGCCTAAGATCAGTTTTACATTCTACACTGTTCTTTTCTTCCTATAGATCACACAAACCCTGAACTGGCTAGTGAGGATGACATCAGAAACAGAGACCAACATTGTAGCTGTTGAGCGCATAAATGAGTACATCAATGTGGAAAAGGAGGTAAGGGGGAATCAGAGGAACCCAGGGGCAGGCTCCTCTGAGGGTCCATCTGTGCCGCTTCTTAATGTCTCATATGAGTTCATAATATTTTTTAAGAGTTTACCTTGCCCTAACTCAAAGACCTTAGTTTTTCAAATTTAGGATATCATTTGGGGAAGTCATGTCTTAGACCGTACCGAGTTAGATGGTGGCTCCACTGTGGAGATCCACAGAACAACCTTACGGGACAGGATTTCTTTAATTGAATAAGGTAGAAACGTTCTGGAAAAACAAGTCTAGGTCAATCAAGCAGCTGGGACACTACTGTTTTGTGACAGGAGGGCTGTTTGGCTGTGCTGCTGCTGTGTGTAAAGCACTTCTCGCCCTGTCCCCTTGCTAGGCATCCTGGATGACGGATAAGAGGCCTCCAGCAGATTGGCCCAGCAAAGGTGAAATCCAGTTTAGCAACTACCAAGTACGGTACCGACCTGAGCTGGATCTGGTTCTGAAGGGGATCACTTGTCACATCAAGAGCACTGAGAAGGTAGGTGCATGTGAGGCCTTATGCTCAGAGACACAGAATAGGGAACAATTGGACTCTGGGCCTTTATCACTGGGTAGGAGCAGAGAAGATCAGGTCCTCTACACTGTGTGCAGGGACACGGCACCACCACCTGAGGTCAGAATATCAACAGAAGATGTCGGCTTCCCTGCCCACTGACCGGGGTTCACTTCCGGTGTGGGAACAGCATGTAGCAAGGTGCTCAGGAAGGAAATGAGGGAGCATCAGACTTGGGAAAGGAGCTGTGGAGAAGAGCAGAGTGGAGGATCGTCCCTGCAGAGAATGGTCTGCTGTTCCTCCCAGTCTGAGAAATGGTTCTTCTGATGGTTCTTGAGCCCTCCAACGATTTAGGGGTCTAAGGTAGGTTCAAAAACATCTTGGTGAGGATGCTGAGGTCCAAGTCAGGGTCTAGTTCTCAGCTAAAGGCAGGCCTGGTCTTTCCCTTCTCATTTCTAAATGAAGACTAAAATAAGAAAGAAGCTATACTATCTGCTGATAATTACAACCACAGCAGCTGCTGAGGGTGTATATCCATTTCCTGCCATCACCACAGATCTCAGCAAGCAACCAGTTATGAGGTAGGGTGGGAGGGCCATCTTTTTCTGACATCTGACACTTTTTTTCTTCTGCAAAATCCAAAAGTTTTTTACTGTCTTAGAGACAAAGTAGTCAAACACTGCTTCCTACTACCTGTGACTGTGAATGGCCAGGCTAAATAATTTCTTTAAGAACTACCTGTTGAACTAACTTGCAAATGAACTATATTCACAGATTGGTGTAGTGGGCAGGACAGGAGCTGGGAAGTCATCCCTCACAAACTGCCTCTTCAGAATCTTAGAGTCTGCAGGTGGCCAGATCATCATTGATGGAATAGATATTGCTTCTATTGGGCTCCACGACCTCCGAGGGAAACTGACCATCATCCCCCAGGTAAGCGCAAGAATTTACTTCAGCACACATTGGAGCAGCTTGTTTTGCCAGAAACAATGAGATCTAGTCAACTAGCAGTGACATTTCTACCCACAACTCCAGATACCTAAGCTAGTTGCCTAAGCTACTTTGTTTCCAACACTTAAAAGAAGTTTTTGAATTTTTTTTTGTAATGCGCATTTGTGACTGCTCGTGTCTGGCCAGTAGATGGCGGCAACACAACGAAAGTCAACTAGAATAAATGATTATTCAGCATTTCTATAGCCCATCCTGGTTTGCAAAACCTTTGCAAGTTTTCCTGCTGAAGCTTAAAGCGATTAAGCTTTATATTCCCTATTTGATATGGTCAAAAGATAGAGGAGGAAATTCGCTGCAAGGTCTTAACGTCAAGTGGAACACTTAGTGTATCAGCAAGAAAGACTTCCCTTTAATTTACTCTCTGAACCCTTCCAAACAAGGAGGGTCAGGAGGCTTCTATGTGTCTTCTCTTTAGAACCGTGTCTCCTCCTCGCTGTAACCAAGTTTCTCTGGGGGTGGCCTTGGTTTGCCCGGTGTTTGCTTATTTCAACATATTCTTTTCTTCGGACTCTTTAAATGTAATAAATTCTCAGTGGTCAGTGCTATCTCATGCTCTACTCTTCCCTGACCCCTCTACCTTGAAACTCTGTTTTGCTTTGGAGGAGGAATATTCCTCTTGTATTCTGAAGAGAATCTGTGGTAAATTTGGAAATCCATAAGTGTATCTCAGAATGAAGCAGTAACAAAACAAAACCAAGGGCTCTTCTTAATCCTGTGGTGGCAGCTGCCCAAGCCCCTCAGAGACCAGGCAGAAGCTTGACCGTGAACCAGCTTCCTGCCTCAGGAGTCTGTCTCAGGCCAGCCCGATGTACTTTCTTTTGGTCACAAAGACCTGCAGCATCCTTTTCTGACCTTAACCTCAATAGCGCCTTCGTCTCTTGACTTCAGGACCCCGTCCTGTTCTCTGGAAACCTAAGGATGAATCTTGACCCTTTCAACAAATACTCAGATGAGGAGATTTGGAAAGCCCTGGAGCTGGCTCATCTCAAGTCCTTTGTGGCCGGCCTGCAACTTGGGTTGTCCCACGAAGTGACAGAGGCTGGTGAAAACCTGAGGTAATGTCTCATACCCCACTTCCCTCTCAGGCAGTGAGAGTGTATAGGGACCAGTCCTCACATTCTTGTGTTAGGTGATGTCTGATGTTGTGGAATTTTCACTGTACAGGTCTAATTTTTAATGTATAAAATAAAATCTTCCACTGTGAAAGTCATATAATAAAATAGATGTGGAAGTGCTTAGATATTCTTGAAAACATTTGTTATTGAATGTGCCCCTCATATGAACTGCATGAGACGTGTTTACAGTTGCCACCACTGCACAGAATCATAGAAAGCAGATTCTCAACTTAGCTGCGCATAGTAATTAATTGACTAAACAGACTCATGCCTGGTACAATCCTAGAGGCTGATTTAAGTAGCCTGAGGTAAAAACAGGACACGGTGAGTCTGAAAGGATCCCACAGGCTGTGAGGGGTGTCCCAGTTTGAAAACTATTGACCCACGTAGATGGTGGGGATGTAGGGTCTGCAAGGTCCTTAAGCATTGTTGAACTACCTCAAACCAACACAAAGACTCTCTCGGCCTTCAGAGTTCTTCTTACCTTTTCAAAGTATTTTTGTATAGTGGTAGTTATGAGCCATTAGAAGTAGAAAGGAGAGCTCAGTAACTCAAGTAATGGACCAGCAGCTCTGAATTCACCTGGCAGCTTGGGATAGATGCAGAATCTCAGGACCAATCCTACCAATCCAATCTGCATTTTAGTAAGATTCCCAAATGGTGTGTGGGCACACTGCAGCTTGAGAAACACCCGTCAGAGCCCTGGCTCCTAACTAAGCTGCTAGAGTCAGCTACGGTACTGAACAAATTCCAGTGCTCAGGCTGCATCCCCAACCAACTGAACTGAGGACCCGGGTGATTTAACCTTAGGGGCACGTGCAAGGTATGGTAGTAAATACCATCAGTTTGTTTCCCTAGCAACAAATCTAGGAACTAGCTACTCAAGTCTTTATGTGATGTGAAAGGTCAAATAGTCGACAAATATATTCTAGCATCTACCGTGTGCCAGACACTGGAGATACAGAGGCAAATGACACTGACACAATGCCTGATTTCCTAGCATGCACAACATAATAGAGGAGACAGACCTGTGGGAATAAATGACGGTGCTGTTAATTTTTTTTTTTTTTTTTTTTTGTCTTTTTGAGAGAGGGTCTTGCTATGCAGTTCAGGCTGCCCTTGAGCTCACGTTGTAGCTCAGGCTGGTCTCGAACTCCCAACGATCCTCCTGCTTCAGCCTCCCAAGTGCTGGGATTATAGGCGTGCGCCACCACGTCTGGTGGTGCTGATAATATTGTGAAGAGAGTGTACAGAACACTATGGTAGGATATGATAGTGGTGCTTCCGGTTTTTAAGAATAAAAATCACATCATCGTTTGGTCCATATTGAGAGACACATGAATGGTGTAACCAGTGCCTTCATTTCAGAATTGAGTTTCAGACCTGGTTTGGGGGATTGAAACTTAACATCTGTGTTGAGTAATGGAAAATCAGCATGGAGGGAGCAGCTGAAAGCCCAAGAGGTACTATCACACAGCCTGTCACTGTCCAGTCCAACTGACCAGGCAAGAGGAGACTGGTACAGCGCAGTAAATAGTTTCGCAGTGTCTCGTCTTACACTACAGAGGAATACTGGATGTTTATCTTAGATGACTTCTCATCTCCTACAGAAATTTTCTTACAGACAATTATAAAACTTTAGCCAGCCCCTTCTTACTGCGTTCCCTTAATGGTCGCAAGACGAGAGAGCAAGCAGCAAATTCCTGAATATTTCCTTCACATCATTTCCCAAAGCTTTTTTACATAAGTAAAAGGCCCAGCCTTCGTTACAGACTTTTAACAAGTTAAAGATATTTGCACTTGACAAGCATAGTGGAATTCCACGTGCACCATATCTCACACCAAGACATCATGTTCCTCAGGTAGTTTTATCTCTAATCAAGGCAGAAAACCCTGAACAAATGATTAACCATGAGACTAGAAATTACTCATTAAAATAATGAATGGATTTGCCGACGCCTTAAGAAATAACTCGGGGGCATTCTAGTGAGCTGCCAGCGGTGTCAAGTCAAATACTTAGTTTATTCACATTCGTGTTGTTTTGCAGTTGTTGCTATCACTGTAGCCAGTGCAAATCATTTCCCAGTGTTTTCAAACATATTTAAACATGAAAATTGCCTAGGTGTTTGTTAGAAATGTACACCCCTTCCCATTCTGACCGAGTGAGGCCCAGAAATGTGATTTTATTGTTATCCCCTTAGTGACTCTTCTAATTGGGAAAGTTTGAAAAATATTGCAGAACAGTGATGAATGGAGATTTTGGAATGGGAACCGTGAAAGTCGGATCTGCAACATGCAACTGTCCCTCAGCCCAAGTTCCTCCCTAGTCGTCAGGGCTAATGTGTGCCTTCTACTGTCCGCAGCATTGGGCAGAGGCAGCTCCTGTGCCTGGGCAGGGCTCTCCTTCAGAAGTCCAAGATTCTGGTGCTGGATGAGGCCACTGCTGCTGTGGATCTAGAGACAGATCAACTCATCCAGAAGACCATCCGGGACGAGTTCTCCCACTGCACTGTTATCACCATTGCCCACCGGCTGCACACCATCATGGACAGCGACAAGTGAGTGAGGGGCGGAGCCTGACGGCCACAGCTTAGCTTTTGGTGACGGTGTCGGCTGCAGATTCCTTACAGGGCTAACCGTCATTTTACAGAGGAAGCTGAGGCCTAGAGAGTTGAATGAAATTGGCCAAAATTACACATCAAGCTAATGAAACCTAACAGGGTCCAGGGAACTACACAGAGGGCAAAATAGAAAATTGTAATTATTAACTGAGTATGGGGAGGTGGGGGCCTAATCCACAAATGGCAGCCTTTGGCCATGGACCTTCCCCATCATACTGAGCTGTTGCCCTGTAAAATGACTAGAAGCTGTCTGATCCTACTCTGGCACGTTAGACTCAGAAGTCAGTAACAGTAGGAAAATTTGGAGCAGCAAATTCTTGCTTTTCTGACTCAAGGGAAGGCTTCCTTTTAAGCTAATCATCCTTAAACAATGTGTACTTTGAGAAAAAACTTACACAAAAGGACTCGTACTGCATATATTGTTCTATGACGTGCTGCTTTTGTTCAGTATTACACATGGGGTTCATTTGTGTTGGTATACATAGCTGCAGTTCATTCATTTTTTAAAATTTATTTTAAAGAGAATAAGAAATTATCAATGGTTGTTATACTGCATACTGTAATCTTCAAAGTAGTTGCTCAGATTACCAGATATAGGTATGCAAAATTGATCAAACAAGTATTAACTACTCCTTTCAATAAACTAATAGAAATTAGTAGTACAATTATCTCAGCTATCTTGTGTGTATATATACATACACATATATATACATATGTATATTTTTCCCCTTCCTTCTTTTCTTCTTTCCCCATCCCAGTTGTTCTTTCCTTTTGAGCAGTTGCTTTGTAGCCTTGTATGATTATCCTACAACTTAGTCCTGGTTAGTTTTATAAATGTCAGTAGTGGAGATGCTACTTTGTAAGCCTTTTATTTTCTCCCTCTTTGTTTCAGGATAATGGTCCTAGACAGTGGGAATATTGTAGAGTACGGCAGCCCTGAAGAACTGCTGGGAAAGTCTGGCCCCTTCTATTTTATGGCCAAAGAAGCTGGCATTGAGAACATAGACAACACAGCACTCTAGCAGCAAATCGCATGGGGGAGAAAAGGACTATACAAATCAGTTCTCTGTGTGTGCGCAGGCATGTGTGTGAAGTTATGTCATGTGCAGAGCTAGGTATAAAATACACATTTTTTATCTAGGTCTGACTATGTTGCCCAGGCTGGCATCAAACTCTTGGGCTCTAGTGATCCTCCTGCCTCAGCCTGTTGAGTAAAAATGTACATTTTATGGAATGATAAGTGAATACCCATGTGCCCATTATCCAGATAAAGAAAATGAATATTATTAGGAGCCTCAGAAACCCCTGAGTTGTCCCACTTTGATCATAACTTCTTGCCCGCCTCTCTTCCAGACAGTCACTCTCCTGAATTTCATGATAATTGTTCCCTCACCCTTTGTTTTAGTTTCACCACCTTTGCATGCATCCGTAAACAATGTGTACCTTTTAAAAATCTTATCTAAATAGACTCACTCTGCATGGATTCTTTTATGACTTGATTCTTTTGTTCAATAATATATTTGAAACCATCCATACTGATGCAAATAGTGAGGTTCATTCACTTTCACTGTTCTTTTGTAGCATGGCAGTATACAAATACACCGCAATTTAGCTATTTTAGTATTGGTCAGCATTAAAGTTATTAACAGTTTTTCTTTCCTGTTATGAACAGTACTGTTATGAACATTCTAGTATTTATGCCTTGATGTATATGTGTGAGGTTCTCTAGAGTATAATTCAGAAGTGGAAAGTATGCATATGTTTACGTGCACATTCTAGGTACTGTCAAACTCAGAATACCAATATGAAACAATTTTGTCCATCTGAGGAACTAGTATTTCACTGATGGCTTAATTGCATTCTCCTGGAGACTACTGAGGTTGCATTTGTTTTTATACTCCTGGGGCATTTCAATTTATTTGATTTTACTTTTGTGGTACTGGGAATTATTTAAATTTATTATATAGTTTTTTTAAACATTGTGTCTAATAGTTCCGATGTCTAGATTCTTTGCCATCTGCTGTTTGTTGGTTTTAATGCATGGTGTTCTAGTTGCTTGTATGTCCTGTAAATTTTTACTATAGGCTTCCTGTTACCCTTAGAATTTGATCTGGTAACTTTTTTTAGGGTTGAGTCGAACCTAGGTTCTTCCTAAAATGTTTCTTCCAAGCTGTCTGAGGCATCACTCAAAACCTCTTTGGACTAAATTCTCCAGTAAGAGGTTTCACGGTGTATATTAGCACAACTTCAGACCACAGTCCTGTAGAAGAGTCAGTCTGTGATTTACACATCTCCAGGGAGAGTCCTCCCTTTGACACAGTAACAGTTTGGAGGTAAGCACAAATCTTCTTGTTGGTGACTCCAGCATTCCGCATGGCGAGATTTGTTTCTTATTTGACCGTACATTGCAAGTCCAGCCTTTCCAGGACTCAAGTTTATCAGAGAAGACCTTGCTTTTCTCTCCTCCTTGGCAGACCTTGGGTTTATCTCTTACCTGAGCATCCTGAGCTATCAACAAAGTGAGAGTTCAAGGTCTCCAAATTTCAGCCTAAGCTTTGCTCCCCGCAACATCCCGCAGCTTCTTGTGTCATCTTGTTAGGGGTTCGCCGTAGTCCTTACTTCCATTTTAGTGACGTAATACTGAATATTTTTATTTTACTGAGGTGCTTGGAGCGGGAAACTTCCTACAGGAAAGTATAGGCAGAGTTAACACGCACCTGCCTTCCTCTGGAAGTTGCAGGTTGCACCTGTTGTCTCAGCATAGTAACAGCTCTCCCTTGCCCTTTAACAGGTGTCCAGTTTGGATGATAAAACCGAATAGTCTTACTACATGTTGTCCTGTGAATTAGATTTTTAGTCACTGTAAATGGTGATTAACAAAGTTGTGTAAATATTGAGTTGTTGACTAAGGGGTTTATTCAAGGAGAATTTCCTCCTTAATTCTGCAAAATAGATCTGGGACATTATATATAATTGTCATTATTTTTCTCTTTTTTTTTTCTCATCTGATTTTTTGAGACAGGGTCTTGCTATGCAGTTCAGGCTTGCTTGAACTCACTATGTACCTCTAACCCTCAAACTTGTGGCAATCCTCCTGCCTCAGCTTCCAGATAGCTGGGATTACAGGTGGGCATGACCACGCCTGGCTTGTCAGCTATTTTTCAAAGATAGTTTTTGAAATGTATACCTATGTAGCTCCTACAAACTGCAGGTTAGTGTATATCCATCTAACAGTCCATCAACTATAAAATGCCAATTGTTTTATGTACCACTAAGAAAGAACACTGCCAATTAAACTCTGGCATACTTTATTTGTAGGATACATCCTATTTGTGGGAGAAAATGGCATTTTAAAATTAATACAGTACTGTATCCCTAGAGCTCTGTCAGTGCCAAGTTCTTTATCTCTGCTATTGATCTTTGTTCACTTTCCCCTTATTTTTCCAGCCTCTGTTGCTCTTCTAATCTACCACCACCACCACCACTGTCATCATCATCGCTGTCACCATCACACCATCTCCTTTATTTCTCTTTCTCAACTCTATTTCTTTTTCACTGCCAGGTAACTAGCCATTGTTTTCATTGCCTTCATGATTATTAAAATTTCAAATAATTGTGCTTCTTTTATTTTCTTCTTAAACATATTCCATATACTTAAGCTTTCCAATTTGCTTCTTAAAACAAATTTCTAGGTATAAAGAATTTATACCTAGAAATAGGTATAAATTTATACTTCTAGGTATAAATACCTAGAAATATAATATAAATTTATATTTCTAGGTATATAGCATTTATAGTTTCCAAGGGCAACTTTGGAAAATGGGACTGGTTTATATCTGCTGAGAGCTGACTACAAACACGGAGAAATTAACAGAGATAAAGCACCAAGGGTGAAAGTGAATTTGTGAAGAAAAGCCTTGGTACTTTCTCAATTTGTTTTCCAAACAAAATGGTCCAGTGTGAGCTTTGTGCCTTCATCTCCAGACAACTTTGAAGATGAACGATCATCACTATTCATTCAACATCTACTACATGTTTTGGCGTTGTCTCATATTTTCTAAAACGCAATTTAATATAAATAAAATATGTTTTATTTAAATGACCATTTCATTCCATTGTGGCCTAAGTTAATATTCTTCTCACAGGTTTCATTTCTGCTGTTAAGCTGAGATTCAACAAGACAGGTACTCACAAGAAACCGAAAATATGGGAACAAACAAAGCCTTATTGAAGTGTGCAACCAACACCCCGACCGAGAGTCAGAAACCAAGATGTCAGCCCCCAGACAACTTTTTACTGGGTTTTTATACATTTACAAGTAACCATGGTAACCACATCACCTTGTTTTTGGAATTTTATAAAATGTCACATCATGGTCACAAGGTTTACATTTCCCAAGGGTTTGTTAGTGCAGTTAAATTGTAGCTCACCTACAATTTGCTTTAATTCTTTGTTTCTCATTTGATGGCTCTTGTTCTCCTTTTGTGGTTGATGGTTACCTCTAAGGATGGGTGGAGGAGTGAGTTCATCTAAAGTTTAAGTGACTCCTGAAATGGAATTACAAAAAGAAAATGGAGTCTCTCTTGCTGTATCACTGCCAATCAATTTCAAGGACAATTTTAGATAACTACCTAGAGCTATATGTTCCCTTAAAATGCCGCCATATCATCTCTAATCTTTTGCCTCTTTCTGTGCCTTTTGTAATTCTTCCAGATACATGGAATCATAGTATTTATGAAGTGAAGAAGACTCTGCCTATTATTTAGCTATTGTCTCTCATTTCAAATCTAGCTTTCTAGATTGTGCTTTGTGATCCTGGAGCTGGGACTTGCAGTCACAATCTGTTTTGCCACCTCCTCCTTTTATGTTCTAATGACCAAGGGTACTTGAGGGAGAATGGGCATAGGCTGGAAAAGCTAGAGACTGTTCCATCCTGCTTGCTCTGTTTACATTAGTATCCCTCTAGCAGTATATATATATTTTTGCTGCTGCAGCATCAGTAGGTTGTACAAGCAGCAACACTGATTTTAGTTTGTAGTTTTTCCAGCAGTCACAGAACCAGTATCATTGTGTCCCTCAGAGGCACCTGAACCATCTGAGTAGCACCCAGTCTTTCAGAAGTAATGGAGTAGAAAATAATTAATAATTCTACACTGAGACATTAGTACAAACAAGAAAAATGTATCAAGGGGACTGTTTTTTTGTAAGCTAATTTTGTATAAGTGCTTTTGGAAGCATCATCTGAAGGCAACAGAATGAGAATAAATTTAATCACAAATGCATACTGATCAAGAATTTACTAGAAAATTAGCCAATAATGTTGTATAAACATTGATATTTAAGTCTTCAAGCTGCTGGAATTTAGATTTAGTTGGTCTAAGACTATATTCTATCATAAGCATGAGCTTAGCCTTCCAATAAACTAGACACTGAACTGGGTTTTCAAAGGTTTCATATTACTGTTTGGAAATGCCATGGGGAAAAGATTGTTAAAGTCCATCAAAGAATTGACTATAAAAAGCAGTTAATTTCATAGTCTTTTTTACTTCACATATAAGTAACTGGCTGTGCTGTACAATTTAACTCTTATAGTAAAAAAGCAACCATTTAGGGGAGAGGTAGAAAAGGGATAATAAAGTAATATATGTAAGACAGGATTTCTCTCAGGTAAAATAAATGTAAGAAGATTTTTTGGAAGAAAACAAAAATCAAGTTAGTTTGGTTCTTTGAATTTTGAAAACGGACCATGCTAGAGCTCCTTTTCCAACTCTTAACAATCAAGGCTTTTGTTCTATATAGGTAATCTCTTGGATGGTCTTCTTGGTTCTCACCATGGTATTCATTTGAGTTTTGTCTGAATAAGAACATATATTTGTGGACATTTGCTTGCTGTCCCAGTTTATAGACACTCATTCTTCTCTGGAAAACAACTTGGTTGGTTAGTGTCCATCAAAGTTACCGAGTCATCCATTGGTTGTACTATTTATTCCAACCATAGATGTCTCTTCTAATACCTTGTAACTAACATCCTTGCTTGTCTGGCTCCTTTGTGAGTGCTTATCTCCAGGCAAATTATGATCTGATTTGTCAGGGCCTCGTCCCCTAGTTGGCAGAGTGATGCCAATCCGTAAGATAATTCCTGGCTTGCTTTTCATTTTTCCTTCATCAAAATGTCAAATATTGCCAGGAGTTGCGGTGCACACCTGTAATCTCAGTACTTGGGAGGCTGAGGCAGGAGAATTTCCATGAGTTTGAGACCAGCCTGAGGTATACAGTGAGTTGAAGGCCAGCCTGAACTGTATAGTGAGACCCTGTCTCAAGAAAAAGATAAAAAATGTCTAATATCCCTGCACACTTCACTCCAGTGGTAATGGCTGAACAGAATCCTTTTGTTTTAGTAGGAGCTAGAGTAGGAGTATAGCTCAGAGACCAAATTTGGCCTTTACCCAATTTTTTAAATAAAGTTTCATTGGCACACAACCATGCTTTTT